TAATAATTTGATTATGCAAATCCTCTTCAGTACAATCTATTTAACCGATAATAATATTTTGATACAACTAACAATTTATACTTTGATTATGCAAAACCTTTAAAATACAATCTTTTTAACCCATAATAATATTTTAATACAACTGATCAAAATTTGATTATGCAAAACCTTAAAAGTACAATGTATACAACTGATGATAATTTGATTATGCAAAACCTTAAAAGTACAATCTATTTAACCCATAATAAATTTTGATAAAACTGATCATGATTTGAGACAAGAATGCAAAAAACCTATTTTACAAATAATGGTATTTTGATACATTGATCATATTTCGATTATGCAAAACATTTTACTGTGACTAATGACTGAGTGATTCTTTCAACAAGAAGTTCATTTTTTTCTGCACTGCTCAGTGTGCAATAAGAAAACATACTTCAATACATTGTTGTTCTATTTGATTTGATATTCACTACCAGGGCTTCAAAATCAAATAATCAAAATTCAAAAACTTAAATATTCTATGAAATCTGCTAAATTTGATATCTAGGAACAGATAAAATAAATGCACAGCAAGGTAAGCTGGTAGTTCTTTACGACTACTTGTACTAGCACAGAGGTCTCACATGGTCAGCGCATTACTTCTACATGGGTGTTTTAACAAAAATCACTACCCACGAGGGACACTAAAAATCTACAAAAGTAAACAATTAAGCTTCTAAATAGTAATAAATATAATATAACTGGTCTTATATCCAAATCTATTTACTTATTAAGCAATTGATGACAAAATAACGATATGAGGTTGTAAAGGGAGATAATTTGCAGCAATATAACCTAAAGCAAAAACGATTACTATGCAAGCTGTAGTACTTGGACTGGTAAGTCATCTCTTCCAAATAAAATATCGACAGCAATCATATCAGTAAGTACAAAAAAAGAGTAGTAGAAAATACAAAGAAGTTGAAAACTAAAATTAGGGGAAGAAACATCAATGAGAGTCTGGATCCTTCATCTCATTATTCTTTATTTTTTTATACCATTTTTCTCAATTATTTATTCATTTTCACCATTATTTTCTTTTCTTTATAATTTAGCACCCTTTTATCATATATTCTTTATTTTTTTGGGGGGCTTCTTTTTCTCTATTCCTTATTATGCCAATTAAAATTAATTGATAGATTTTCATCCCCGCCCGCCCCTCTGAAATCGTCCCGCCCCGATTTTTTTTATTTTGAAAAATTTACAATTTCCGGAATTTGTTCATTTCCGTTACCGGTAATCGTCAATAATTTTGTTTCATTCAAAACTTCCTGTTTCAAATTTCGGTTTTCGTACTTCTTCGAGTAATCAACCAAACATGCAAAATGATTAAGTCGACATATTCTGCTGCTCTATGATGACACCATATGATCGTCTACTGAGAATAGAGATTGATTATGAGAAGGGCGTGAAATATTCGGGTTACCAGTAATACACGGTGTCCAAGAATGCAAATCGCGGTATTTCACAAATTTCTGTGATTAGAAAACCGTGGATTTTTTGTATTTATACAATGACTTTGTCTATGGAAATTTGGACTGTGAATGATATCCAAAGCGCAAGAATCGTGGAACACATTGGTACAAAAAACATGACTGGATTAAAGAAATTGACACAAGCACGAAGTTATTAGATTTATGACTGTATATTGTGTTCAAAAAATCGACAAAGCCCTTAAAATTTACACATGGCTGTCTTTTTTTGTTGACAAACAGCAAACACCCTCTGTCCCTATACCTTCATTAAGTCATTAAACAACTTCTTTTTTGTTAAGTTCATGTTTTACATTGTAATAGAATCATGTGCAAAACAGTGTACAGTATATTATATACTTATATACATATTTTATTTGCGATCATAAAATGTACGAAGTCGTCCATTACTATGTAAATTGGGTCGATTAAAAAAAAAGCTGAATATGTTTCTGTTGCCAAGGGTTTTTCACAAGTATAGTAGTTAGCAGAAAAGATCACCAAACTATACATTTTACCTATTCAAAAACGTAAATGCAAATTTCACAAGGCTTGATCCAAATAGCCTTCTTACTGTCTAATAACTTGCAAGTACGAAAAAGACAGGAAAGTAGTATATTTTGTCTATATGTTTTGTGTTTGCACACTTTTTAAAGTTGATCATGCATTCGTTACAAAAATAAAATTTTGACCAGATAAAAGTTAAAAGATAACATAATTGGACAACCGCAATTGTTAAATCGCTTTGACGTCCGAAAAAAAGATAATAATCAACACATCCATTGTAACTTTTAAAGCCAGTTAAATCCTTTTTTGCTGAAAGAACGTCCGATATCATAAAAATTCATTATCAAAACATAACAAAAACACAAATCAAGAACGTTTAAGTATTCAATATAAATCAAAACACAAAGGTTATTCCTGATTAGTTTTTCGAATTATTTTATTCAGGCTTTGAGACCCTTTGGTGACCCCACAGTTTAAATGTCTATAATAAATACGTCGTGAGTTGTGGGCGTTACAGACGAACGTTCACCTAATCTGACCCAGTCAATGGGATATTTTAGCGCGCCAATCAATGGTCTCGGCTACACTGTTTTGCACATGATTCTATTATATTTGCATATTGAATAAGCACCAACCCTATTTTTTTCAACACTGTTTGAGTTTTCATTTTATTCTCAGACTGTACTCATAATACTTGTGTTGCATACCAATGCATTTGCTTCATTTTATGGGGACCACAAACCGTAGCTTGGAAAGTAAAATAAATTTGGTGTAGGCAGTCCAACTGAAGAGAGCATTTATCCACGTTGTTGTTGTATACTATTAATAGGTTTCTAAAGCGGCAATGCAATTGCATGTAGAACAGTGGTTGCCAATCAGAGATATTTATTTAAGAATTAAAAAAAAAAATGAACGATTCTTTATACATGTATATACATGATATTAGCTTATTATTACACTTGCATGTATGAAGAACACATCAAAAGAGTGTTTCATATGAAATAAAATTTAAAAAATAAAATCCTCCCACCCGCCCCATTTTTTTCAAAAATCTGGATGAAAATCTACTAATTAAATTTAGTTGGCCTTATTTTTGACAATTATTCTGAATGTTTTGCCCAATATTCTCTATTCTGTAAACCCCATCCAGACCCTCATAAATATCTATTATAAATAATTCACTCACACATTATAAGACAGATAATTGCTATAGGCTAGTATAGCTATATTGAGTTGTTTCAACAAAAAAGAAGTAGAAGGATAAATCATTGTTTTGTCCCTAAAATAGCAAAAAAAAACCTTTAAATCTTCAATTCTTTAAGGATTACATGTATGTACCTTTTTGCTATTTCAATGCTAAACATATGGATATTTTACAGAAAATCCACAGCCTTTCACATTGAACAATTATATTTGACAATTTTCTGTACTTTATAGGTAGGGGATTACTGCATGCAGTGAAAGCAATGATTTCCCCTAAAATAAGTTTTTTAAATAAAGATTTAAGTTAAAATAAGTACAAATATAGACCCATTCTAGTACACTTTCTAGGGTGCGCTTACCGTAAATCTGCACAAGGTTTTTTGGATTGTTAAGGATGTTTAGGAATTTTGTAAACAATAAACACTAGTACAAAAAGGACAAACAAGTAAGATATCTATGTTTAAAATGTTTTGACGAAAATGCAATGAAACAATAATTATTATTGTTGTGAACTACGTTTCCCTTTGGTATACATACAAAATGGCACATTGTTTTTATTCAGTATTTTTGCTGTTTTAAATTATTGCAATTTGAAAATTCATAATACACCTGCCTACAGAAGGGTCATTAACCTTAAAATTATACCAGGTTTATTGGAACAGAGGTAGATTTATAAACACTTATTGCTTTGGAGAGAACAATCAATTAACTGTAAAATGGGAGATAACTCTTTACATTTATTTTATCAACTAAGAATGTGGTCAATTTAATTTGATAACTGTGATCTGGGAGCCTTCCGGACTGGGACATACTTTATATTGCATTAGTTGTCCTCTTTCCAACTGTGATGCAACTTTATCACCATATGGGAGTGACACCAGGTATTGGTACTAGCTGAAGCAGAGAGTTGTTGTAAATTTGTAGTCACAGGTCAAAATTTCAATTTTTTATGCACTTGTAAATATTGCAAATGTCTAAAAAATTTCTATTATGATATGTTGGTAATTTACCTGTTCTCCATATCATTTAGGAATGTTATACATTAGCGTAAATTAAATCTGATAAAAAACTACCATATCATCTAGTGTCGTAAAAAAGAGGCACCAATTACTTCAGTTCAAGAGAAGTAGCCAATTTAATGCTTCTTAAGATTGGATATTTCTTCCTATTTTTCTATTGTGACCAACTATAAATACACAGACCACAATTTTCATAAAATGTCTTTAAAAATTATGTAAATCACAAAGACAAAGGTTTGATAGTGGTATACTGCAACTTATGTATTGATATGTACTTGAGCTAGTACTAATATCTGATGTCACTCCCATACTGTGTTTATACAAGTAAATTTCTGACAAATGAATCAGTATTAAATAATACTATTAATCAAATAATTACAAATTCCTATTCTTAACACTCGATGCACTGACATGAAATACTATGCTACAAAAAATAGTATCAAAACTATATAATAAATAACTGGTAATAAGGTAAAAACTGATATTTTAAAAGTATATATTTTGTATCCAAAAATCAAAAAAAGAAAATGGCGAGTCCAAAGTTTTGACCTAAAAGTATCCTAGTGAGAACGCTGTATAATCTTTGTCCACTTTTTTTATAATTTATTAAAATCCTACAGTACACAAACTACCTGACATCATGAGACATTAATTCAACTTTTTTAATATTTCAAATTTTTGTAGATATAAACAGTATGTATGCAAGCTAGTGATTAATTTTCCTTTTTTTGCAAGCTAATGTTAAATTTTCTCTCTGTTTTGCAAGCTTATGTTTAATTTTCTCTCTTTTTTGCAAGCTAATGTTTAATTTTCTCTCTTTTTTGCAAGCTAATGTTTAATTTTCTCTTTTTTTTTTGGCAAGCTTATGTTTAATTTTCTCTCTTTTTTGCAAGCTAATGTTTAATTTTCTCTCTTCTTTGCTAGTTTTGATGTTTAATTTTCTCTCTTTTTTGCTAGTTTTTATGTTTAATTTTCTCTCTTTTTTTGCTAGTTTTTATGTTTAATTTTCTCTCTTTTTTGCAAGCTTATGTTCAAGTTTCTCTTTTTTGTGCAAGCTACTATTTAATTTTCTCTCTTTTTTGCAATTTTTGATTTTTTTTTTTGCTAGCATTTGTTTTAATTTCTCTCTTTTTTGCAAGCAATCTTTAATTATTTTTTTTTATAGCATTTGTTTAATTTTCTCTCTTTCTGGCAAGCTAATGTTTGATTTTCTATCTTTGTGTAAAATAAAAAAAGAAACTTTAAATGGAGTGACTGCCTTAAAAAGGAGAAATTAGTTTTTTGAAAAAATAATCTTTTGGCAAATATCAAATAATAAACACAAGCACAGCTGTTTGATTTTTTAAATGTAAAAATATGAGGTAAAATAAAAAATAAATTATAGACTTTCACAACTTTTTATATAGATAAAGGACAATTTAAAAGCTGGCATATTGTGTAGACACCTGTGTATTGTTGCCCTCTAGAAGTCTTGATTATTATTATTATTGGGTTGTTGACTCTTTGAATTAAATCCCAAATTTCTTTTCATTCGTTTTAAATGAATGAACATTATTTTTCATCCCAAATTGATACAGTAATGTCAGTATAAGTCCAATAAAAAAAATATTCTATGACCTTATCATAATGTTATCATAATTCTCCCGTGTTATGAGAGTTTTGCTTCTTCTTTAGTTGAGAATAGTACATATATGTTAAAGATGGATCTTCCTCTCCTCTACGTAACATTTCTACAACAGCATCAGCTACTGTCTTTGTATCTTCATATGTAAATGACCAGTGTGAAGAAGGTCTGAAAATATTGATTTTGTAAAAATTTTAAATATGTAACAGCTGCCATCAGAAAAAAACAACATATACAGTTATAAAAACTTGTAAACATTTAATGCCAATAAATGCCTGACAAATTCTAAAATCACAACCTCTGGTTTAAGTTGTTTCTCTATTTTTTTTTAATTATACATTGTAGAATATGTATTTGAATGCCCCTTTAAAAGCTTCTTTTTTCAGACTTGATGAGGAGATATAGATTAATATAAATAGAACTGTTGGTGAAGAAAAACAAATATCAAACAATTGAATATTTACCAAACCTGGAATACGTGAAAATTTGCCTTCATTTCATGTTATCATAACTAATGTTGTGAATGAGGATATGGCAAAGTGTTATCCTCTTATATATGTTTACATACATGTATATTTAATTGACTATGTTGTTGAAGATTTCACGTAAAGACCATACATACTGTAATTGTTCACATAATGAAATACTGTAACAGTATCCTTACCATTTTTATAATTAATGGTGCCAATTCAAAATACCGAATATCTATAACAGTTAACAATAATAAAGTCACTTACATTTCCTGACCTGACAATGGTGAAAATGGCTTTGGACATCCAAGATGGGAATTGTCAGCTATTTTTGGTGGAGGCTTTGGTTTTGATGGATCTTTTTCATGTTCCTTTAATGCATTCATTCGTTTATGAATTTCACGACAAACATGACATTCAAATCCTTGGTAATAATCAACTTTATCCTCAATGTTGTAAAAATAATATTTGTGATCATGTGATCCCCAGTCACGGTTTAGGACTGTTTCCTTTAACAGTGTGTTTGTAATGCCATTTGGCTTTTTAAAATTTAGATATTTTAAATACTCTTCATCATTTTCGTCTAAATATTTAATAAATTCGGCAAGCTCCTTGGGGCTGTTGAAGTCATTGACCATGATAATAGAATGATTATTTGGCATCCAATCTTTTGCTTTAGGTGAGCCATAATAAATAGGAACTGAGCCTAAATGTAGAGGTCTCATTAATTTTTCAGTCATATAATCATCACATACAGCATTTTCAAATGATAAATGGAACTTATATCCAGCAATAAAATCAAGAAACTGATCTTTTTGGAATGATTCTGCAGGATTTATTAAATTTTCTGGAAGATCTTTATTGTGCAAGCACGTCCCATATGAATCCACATCTATATATTTCATCAGCTCTTTAACATATGAATCACGGTATGATGGTACATCAGCATGAGATTGAGTGTACATTAGAGCAGCAAATCCATCTGATTTTTGTTTTTCATTTTTAACCTTGATATCAATAGCTTGTCGCTCTGTGAGATACTCTAATGCAAAAATGTCTTGAGTAGTGATTGGGTAATCTGATTCACGTTTGAATGTAGCAGTATGGTTGAAAAGATGTATGAAATGTTCATGAGACAGGAGGTAATTGTTTAATGGTGACTCTTCATGAAACAAACACCATTCATGATCTTGAAGTCTTGGGAGTGGTAAATCCAAAGGATCTATTCCAGTACCATAGAACATAATACCTTTTGTGTTTTTATTGTCAAGATATCCTCTAGACTTTGTAGAATAACATTTAACGTCTCCACATCTTATTAGCGTCATGTTGTCATTTGTATGCGGATATATTTGTTGTGTCCACCACAACAAGATTGGCAGGTCCCCCTTTGCAAAATGTTCAACTGCTACAAAACTAAGAATAGTAAACATTGATAAGAAGAAAAAAATTAAAGATCTCATTTTCACATAGAAGAATATCTTTAAAATAAAGCGTGACACATTTCTAATCATTGCTTTTGCCGCTTTATGCTTGGTAATTTGGATATAAAAGCAGTATCATCACTACCAACGTGCTACATCCGCTTTCCAATGTTTACAATCCCACAATGCAGTCGATTTCGTTACGTGGCAGGAGTGCGCATGTGCCAAATTCCGGAAGTTCTCCTTCTGTACGTGGCAGAGAATTTGTGTATTTTGATACGTGTTTACGTATATAGTGTTAAACTCTAAGTCATTCATCATACATAAGTAGCAAAAGCTAAGCAAACCTCTCAAATAAGATAACTACACTTCGAGGTAAGTTGAAAGTCTCTGTGTGTATGGCGTATCGTGATATTTAAAGTCATGTCAACCGGCTTTGACAGTGACAGTCATGATTTTGCAATATGTAGTAGTATTTTTTCTCATTTTAATTTTCCTTTAAAATGTAATATATACTATTACATGCATATGTTTTGGAGAGGATAACGAATAGTGTCTCATATCGAGAACAAATTAAAGATGTGTATTTTTGATCTGTGTAAAGAAGAGCATAATTTTATAGGCCCTCCCAGACTTTCTGTCAAAGAGAGGTGATGGATACCAAAGGCAAAGGGACATTCAAACTCACAGGTCAACAATAAAATGATAACACCATGGCTAAAAATAAAAGACAAACAAACAACAGTACACAACACACCACATAGAAAATTATAGACTGAGTAACACTAGTCACTAACCACATCAAAAACGGGGGGTGATCTCAGGTGCTCTTGAAGAGTAAACAGATCCTGCTCCACATGTGGCACCCGTCATGTTGCTTATGTTAGTACAAACCCAGTAATAAGTCTAATTTGGTAGGTCACATTCAGGGAAAAGGGGACGGGATTGAAGTAACAATTGGAAATCTATGAAACTGATATTCCATAACAGTCAACTAACTCGTGATGCCGTCCGTAAAATTTACGAAGGGACGATTAAAACTTCACCAATTGGAACTCTTGGTTTAATAGCTTCCTTGTGAGCAGCAACCCTTTATTAAGGAAATCATGATTGGAAATACATGCCCAGGAATATCGTATCAACTGGGAGATATATACTCCGTATGCAGGTGCTGCTAGAGTGTTGCTACATAGAAATGGGAAGTTCACAATTGGGAAGCTGAAATCACCTCTTTTGTCTTAAAGTTTTGTTTTCAACCAACCATCATTGTCAATTTCTATAGCTAGGTGGAAGTCAAATAAGAAAAAGAAAAAATCTATATAGAGTTGCTGTCATGTAGAAATTGGCACCTGGTTTTTAATCAAATATTTTTAAACTATCAATCGTGTTTTTCACATAGGGGAATCTGATATATTAAAAAAATCACTACTGCCCAACCTTTTATTGTGATAGCACTGTATAATCCTAACCTTAACATTGTCCTCCACCTTGTGAGAATTTCAATAGTGGAAACTGACATTTTTACATTGGAAGTGTTGTTTGGCGTTTCATGTTTAGTTTATTTACATATTTTCCGGACTTGTCACCACTCAGAACTTTTGCCCGATTGCAGAGTAAGTCCAGAGAAATATTCTATTGCAGCTGATAGGTTGCTGTAAAGTGCAGGAAATTTTTTATATCAATGACACCAATATTACCGGAGAGCAATGAATATTATGAAAATAGATGATCTTCATAGAAACCCAAGATGGCTGATTTACATGTACAATGAAAACCATTAAGTAAAATGTGAAGGTCAGGATTATACCATGCAATCACAAAAGGTAGTAGTCGGTTTTGGGAAATATTTTAGGTTCTGCTAAATGGAAAACGTCATCTTAAATGAAAGCCATTGATAGTTTAGAAATACTGGATCAACCACCTTGTGGAATTTGAGCAAGAGTTATTTCTCTTTTGTCTCCAAAATTCCTTCATTAATCAGCTTAACCCTTTCACCGATAGATGGCCTGACAGAAGCTACTCTGAGACGATGGCTTCCCTGGCTATTATGACACAAGTGGGAGATCTTCATATTAAATATCAATAAAAACTTGTCTGTAGTTATTTATGTCTTTATATTATTCACTTACACCATGGACACAGTTTTGTTAATGTTTTGATCATTTTTTCTTCATAAAAAATCAAAATTTGCAAATTATCGGCATTAAAGAGATGAAATTCAACTTTTTGACCCAAAATCGTAATTTGTTAACCCAAAACGGCAAAAGTTTGAAAAATTCAACAAGGTTGTACAAATACCTTACACTGAACGATATCCATTCCAAGTGTTTTTGTACATAAAACGGCATTTTATGTCAAAAAAGTATACTATTTTGGCTTCAATTCTTCCATATTCTTTCAAAAAAAATGTTTCCTTATTTCAAATTCTAGTAAAATCTGTAAATTTCATCTGATTTTGACACGGTTTTCAACAAACGGAAGTGCCATGTTTACACTTTCATCCGGGTATTCAACAAAGAAAGATAACTTGTGTTTCCAATGTTTTTAGCGGGAAATGTAAAAGAGGTATTCCGATCCCGGTAAACTGGGACTTATCGTCAGCTGTCTGAATCGTGAATCGCGGTAAACCAGGATTCGTCGGCGAAAGGGTTAATTCAATTTGTTGTCTTTACAAACAGTTGTTTTTTTATTGCCATTGAGACAACTATCAATCAAAGTTCAAATGAAGTGTATGTAAGCAATTATAGGAAACCATACAACCTTCAACAATGAGAAAAACCCATACTGTATACATGTAATTGACTACAGAAGGCCCTGACATGAAAAAATAGGAAACAATTCTATTGATAAAACTAACCTCCTTATTTATAACAAATCAATTTACCAAAAATAAATATGACAGACATAAAGCAATGACAACCACTGAACTACAGGCTCCTGACTTGGCTTCATTCATCACTTATACTACATTTACGTAGGGATCTCATGTCAGACTTGAATTTACCACATAGTTTAATCTGGATAGGCAAATAAAAAAATACCCATTTTGGTGGCCAAGGGAAATAACCCAAACTCAATATGGCATATTGATAGCTATCTATACAGTGGAATAGCCAGTGTCCTTGCAACTAGTGATATTGTGAATTACCTGATTTAGTCATACCAGCAATGATAAATAAGTCAAATGGTTCTTGTAACTGTTTTAGTGTTTCAAGTGGACTTAAAATGTTAAAATTAATAAGCTAAAGCATAAATTTATAATTGCAATTCCTGGAATCCCATATAATTTAACGGTATTCCATTGAAATTATGAGATCTTCCGTTTACGGCAAATTCTATCAAAATGAAATAAATTTACTGTAAGTTTCTATATAAACCTAACTTATCCAGGGTTCCTGGAATCAAATATTTAAAAAATTCTCTTTTGATATGGGGTTTAAAGGCAATAAGCATGATAAGCCCAATTTTATTTCACATACTGTAAACCAACTTATTTATGGGGATACTTTATTTCTCGTTTCCCTCTTTCTAGCCCACTTTGCGTGATAAAAGTTCACGATTTTAATTTTCTTGATGTATTTGAATTAGGAAAGATATGAGTTTTACATATTCTCAACGATTTATTTTCACGTTATTTTTCTACTCGCGAAAAATAAATCGCTTGCGAAAATTAGTTGGTCTACAGTATTCTCTAAAATAGACATTTAATGTTCAACCATGTCTGATCTCTATGATCAGGAGTTGGGAATATTTTATTTGTTACATTATTTATGTAGATAAAAACTGCCTAGTTGAAGTTACATGTACAATGTTGATATATACAATATGTAGTTTATTTTTACACCTTTTGTATCAATGAAAAAACAATGCACTACAAAATTCAGGAGAGTTTGTAACACAAAAATTGACAAAATGCATTTGGCAGTTATACATGTAGATCCTGTGAATACTACACGTGTTTGTCTGTACTCATTAAATTTTGTTGCTTAAACACAGCCATATTTGCCAAAAGGTTATAATGAACCACGTTAAGCATAAATTGCATGTATATTATTGTAATTTTTCACTTATATTTTATACATTTCTTTGATATTTTTAGAATAAAATGAAACAATGAATCCACAGTACCAAGGAAATCAAGGCCAAATGCCACCAACAGGTTATGGACAGCCACCAATGGGACCAGGTCAGAGACCACCTGGTCCAACACAGAACATGTACAATGGTCCAAGTATGAATCAACCACAATTTCAACATGGTCCGGGATCAGGTATAACAGAAGTTCGAATACCAAAAAAGTCTTGGTCACCCCCAAAAGTGTACTACTATGCAAAAACTATTGAAGTTGTTGAGGATAAGATAAACAAAGGAACAAAGACAAGAAGAACTTGCTATTATAATTATAAGTATTCTCCCTATAAACTTCATATAGCATCACAACATAATCTATAAGAAAATCATTTCATATAGCATCACATCAACATGATACTAAAATGCCCTGCGGTCAACACTAATAATACAGGGCAAATTTCTATCTGCAGCTGCTACTTTGCTCCAAGTGTCATCTGCATAGCGTATTGTAGTATGCAATAGAACGGCATGTGGTGGCCTTCTATGGCAGCATGAAACTGCCACTTCAAAAATCTGTTGTTAACAAATATAAGTCATCAAGTTTATGTCAAACTTTAATCTTCTGTTATAAGAATCAACAAACTTGACAATCAATCATTACAAAGTCGGCATGAAAGGAGTAAATGCATAAAAAACTGAAAATAATTTGGTTTACAATACATATATTTGAAATTGGATTTATATAACTTAAATATTTTGACAGTTCATTGTTCACAAATGTAAAATAAAGTAATGTTTCAGGTCAGTTTGGGACAGGACCCCCAAAGCCATATGGTGGACAACCTCCAACTCAAAATGGTCCTCAACCAGGGCAAGGATCAGCTGGTCCCCAGGGAGACAATCAGTTTGGTATGAATAGGTAGGAATCTTATGAAGATAGAATGTCTTTCTACTTGGGAATAAGAGAAGCCGCTGAGATATTTGATTCCTCTGTGATAGCCAATATTCGTGTGTTCATGATACATTCGTTCAAATGAAAGAATTTTGAATCAAATTTATATAAGATGTCAGATTGAAACTTTTCAATGAAAATATCAATGTGCACACTTTTAGAAATCTGTTTAAAAAATGAGGGTTTGGCTATTTGCTGGTAAAAGAAATATTATATTTAGCCTAATGGGACTACTAGGCAGGCTACTTCTTTACAAATATTCATTAACCGGACACATCATCTTGTGGACACACTCTAATTCTTATAAAATTGCATGATCAATATGTTTACTTGTTTCCCATAATTTACATGAAATGTTGACATGAATATTTCAGAGGCCCACCTCAGATGGGTTCAAGACCACCAGTTAGTATGCAGAATTTTCCAGGTCACGGCGCCCCAAGACCTGGACCACCTGGAAGTCCAGCAGGCCAGCCAGGTTTTCCTCCTCCATCTACAGGACCAGGTGGCATGCCTATGCATAGACCAGGTCCACCATCATCACAACCAAATATGGCTGGGCCTGGTGGGCAACAGCATAGACAAGGCTTCCCTCCTCCAACAGGACCTGGTCAGCCACCTACTTCTGCTAGCCAGGTTTGTTTATAACAATACAATACAATGAATAAACTTGTTTTTTTTTATGGTATGCAATAAAACACAAGCTGTCTGATACCATTTTGTCACAGTCAATATCTGTTTTATTGGTATAGTTTGAAGTTACATAGTTTATATCAATCTGTCAAGAGTCAGGTTTTTCTACATGAAAAGAAAACTTACTAATAGAAATAAGTAGATGTGGTATCAGTGCCAATGAGACAACTCTTCATCCTAGTCACAATGTTTAAAAGTTAACAATTATAGGTCAAAGTACGTCCTTCAACGTGGAGCCTTGGCTCACACCGAATAGCAAGCTATAAAGGGCCCCAAAATGACTAGTGTAAAACAATTCAAACAGGAAAACCAACGGTTTAATCTATATAAAAAACAAGATACGAGAAGCACTTATGAACCACACCAACAAAGGACAACCACTGAACAACAGGCTCCTGACTTAGGACAGGTGCATACAAATGCAGCAGGTTTAAACGTTATGTATATTTGAGAGAAATTATCCATTTGTTTTGTCATTCGATATGAAAGATTATTCATAACTTTAAAACTGAATTGGTTCATCATGTGCATGTAAAATATACCATACCTAAATTATTATCACAAATAAATTTAATGCATAAACATACTTAAATGAACCTACTGTGACCATTTCTCTTTTCTTGGAGAAATGGAAGTTACTTAGGAAAGACGTTCTATTGTTTTAAACCTCATGCAACATGTAAGAATTGTTGCTTGCTTAATGCCAGTGGCAACTATGTCATGCATATTCAAGATGAGAGCAAATGACCAATTAATAAAATAAGTGGGTTTTGCATGGTATGTAGACCAGTATGGAAGGCAAAATATTTGAAATGTCGCTGGAAAATGAGGGTATGTTGAATAGGGGCAGAAATTTTGACTAGCAACGTCAGGGTTTAAGCTAGGATTTTGAGGGCTTTAATCACTTTTGCGCGAGATGAAAATCAACATTATTTTGGGTAACAGCAAGGGACCAAGGATGTATGTATATTACTAGCTATACATCTTTGTCAGACTTTGAAGGACTAAGGCATCAATTTACTAGGCAGTAATTGCATGATTTGACTGATGTGTCACTTATATATGAAGATTAGGATATAAGATCTGAAAATCTAGTTCAAAATTTTACTTCAATTAGTTTCAGGGGACATTCCTGATCAACAAACGCTGGGTTCCTTTTTGTAAAACCAGGAATCACAGTATAAATGAACTTGTTGAACTTTGTAAGACTATTACACTGCATAATCATTATCCTTATAAGACGTTTAAATCAATATTTTGAATTGATTTCTATAAAGTTGGAACCAAGGATTTGTACAAATTCACATGGAACGATTTCAATAACTGTAAATTGTAAATTAATCGAGAATTGATTTCGTTTACTTTCGATTTTCAAATGAAATGTAAACGGGAAGTGACAAGTAGATAATAAATTCAGAATGAATCCGGATTCATCTACAGATTGGTTCGTGTTTTAAAAAGGCAGGAAATTATCATTTTTTATTTCAATTTGCTTAGTAAGAACTATATTTGTCTCTCTCATTTATTTTGGCACTAAATTTATTTCGTGTTTTACGGTTTAGTGTCTATAAATTCATAAGGAAGCACCTGTTTGACTCGTTGATGATGATGGAAGTATTTAACGTGAAAACATTTCTGAACGTTTTGAATAAAGTTCTATCTTTTTAATCGAAATTGAACGTTTTATAAAGATGACGAAAATAAGATCATTTGACGAAACTACGACAAACGAACTGCAAATTATGATCGTTTTAGAAATATTGATATTGAAAAGCGAACTGTCCAGGGGAAAACAATTTTGTTCAAATGATGAAACTACGACAAGCGAACTGCAAATTGTGGTCGTTGGCCTTGAGAAATTTTGAAATTAAAATGCAGACTGACTAATTTTACTGGGGAAAATAATTAACGGGATTAGTGACCCATCCGATAGCAATAAGCGGATTAGCTATAATCACAACTTTATAACACCTGTTGTAAATGTTAATTAGCTGAGGGTCATAAACTTGTCAGAAACATGTAGACCGGTAGAATTATAGTATTTTCATGCAAAATATTTTTACACTTTCCAAATTTAAGTGACGAAATTAATTTGAAATACTTTCGTCATTTTGAAACAGTTTCGTAAATTACGAAAGTGACGAGCGCTAGCAAAATCACTGAGCTACATGCCACCTTTGCATCACTCAGAGAGTTGTTTTAGGGCTAATCAGGGACTCTTTAACCTGTAATGAGTGTGGCACTCTCCCTACAGGAGGCATTGGAAGAATAGTAAATGTAATTGGATTTATAATTTATATTTTACAGTTGTCAAATCAGATGGGAGGTATGAATTTAGGAGGACCTAGTGGACCTATGCCACCTGTAAGTAAACTCTGAAGACATGGAAGAAAGGATATTTCCTTTAACAAGGATCAGTGACCAATAGTTCATATAATTTCTTTGAGAAAAAAAAGACATAGGAAATAAATATTGAATGAAATTAATATAATCAGGTTCAAATCTAGTTGGGGAAATGGAAAAGAATTTCCTTTGACAATATTTTATTTTTTTTAATGTACCTACTGAGCATGAAACTCTGTATTATAGAATGATGTGATATTTAGTCTGGAATTATAAAAATGTTCAGTTGTGTAAATGATTTATTGATTTACTAGGAAGTTACTCCCCATTTGACATAACATTACATCATCATATGCAGCTCCTTGTTATATATGTTTAGATGATACATGAATGCTATCAACAAATTCTAAAATAAATATATGAAAAAGGTTGAATGTTAGTGATTTAGTATGAAAAAAACATTAATCATAATAATGATGATGAATTGTGTATAATGTTTTTAAAAAATGATTTGATATAAAAAGAAACCCATTAATCATCTTAATGATAAATGAATTATGTAAAGTGTATTTAAAAATATCTTAAATATCTATCTGAAGGAAATTTGGGGCCTGTCAAAGAACTGTTTTTATGTCTGACTGTAGCTAGTATTATGGGTCAAGGATGTGATATTTTTCCGTGTTGAATTTTTAAAATATTTTGTTTAGCAACCTGGAAGTGGACATGGCCCACCAAGTCAGTTTGGTGGTCCACCATCTTCGAAAGCACCACCAATGATGGGACAACCTACTCAAATGGGACAGCAACACTATCCACAGCCTAATCAGGGACAGCAACCTAATTTTGGTGCTCCTCCTACTAGTACATTAAATGGGCCACCAACAAGTGGTTACGGAATGCCTCCTACAAGTAACTTTGGAATGCCCCCTACAAGTAATTTTAGTGGACCTTCAAGTGGTATTGGGATGCCACCAAGTAGTAATTTAAGTGGACCTTCTAGTGGAATCGGGATGCCACCAAATAGTAATTTTGGTGGGCCACCCACAGGTGGCTTTGGAATGCAACCAACCAGTAATATGAGTGGACCACCATCAAGTGGGTATGGAATGCCACCTACACCACCGATGGGTCAAGGTCCTCAGATGAACCAACCAGGTGGATACATGGGTGGGTCAATGCCAGGACAGGGTGGATTCCCTCCTCAGCAGTTCCCTGGACCAGGTCAACAGAGAATGCCAGGGCCTAATGCAATGCAACAGCCTCAAGCTAAGAAGTTAGATCCAGATTCTATGCCTAGTCCAGTAAGTTTCTATTTTAATGTAATGTAATAAATGAAAATATCAAAAATGTTTCTGTTGAACAGTGTAGATTTTGATCTAACCATTAGAATTGTAATTTTTATGTTGAATACTAAAATGATTAAGAACTCCCTTCATAAAGAAATAAAAGGTACTAGTTATATTTACATTATGAATCATATCTGTGACCTCCGTAGTAGAGAACAAGAGTGAACATATGCAATTAATTAGGAGATGCATTCAAATGCAAAGAAAAGAAATTTCGAAATTATGTAGTTTTGGACGTCTAACCACAGGTTAATTAAGTCTTTGTTATTTTTGCAACATTGATGGGTTAAGGTCATTGATTGTTTGAAAATTTCAAAATAAAATGGTTTGCATGATGATCATACAGTTTATCAATTTATCAGTTTAGTTTCTAAAAAGGTCTTTAGAACTGGAGAATGAAGACTCGAGAATCTACTATATGCTGTGTTCTACAAAGGGACTTTTACACATTTAAATATTTTTTATTTGAGTATGATTTCACTAGAAAAATACAGGTAATTGATAACATGTTGCAGGGGACATGGAAATACCGGGCATCCGTCCGGTCTTGTTAGCGCTCTCACAGGTACAATTCTTGCCAGATTTCTATAAAACTTATACTATAGGTTAATATCAGCAATATCTCGGACAAGTTCTATAATAGTGAACAATCGACTTTTTTAAAAGAGTTATGCCCCTTGGAAATATTGAATTTATGGAAAATGGCCTCATTAGCGCTTTCACGTATACAATTCTTGCCAGATTTTTATAAAACTTATACTATAGGTAAATATCAGCAATATATCGGACAAGTTCTACAATGGTGGATGAGCGACTTTTTTTAAAAGAGTTATGCACCTTGGAAATATTAAATTTATGGAAAATGGCCTCTCACAGGTACAATTCTTGCCAAATTTTTATAACAATTTTAATACTATAGGTTAATATTAGCAATATCTCGGACAAGTTCTATAATGGTGAACGATCAAATTTTTTAAAAAGAGTTATGCCCCTTGGAAATATAAAATATGTGCAACACGGAGGACATTGGAACTCTGTTCTTTTATTTAATTATATTTAGTGGACAAGTTTTAAGATATGGATGTAGATTATATTCAACAATCATGTCCTTTTTTTACAGGTACAAGTTATAGAAGATGATAAACTAAATCGTAGTGGACAATTTCAGACCACATCAAGAGGAAGTGTACCTCCTCTTGTCACAACAGACTTTACAATTCAGGATCAGGGTCAGTATACAACTCTAGACTGTTCCATTCAAATTGATGTGGGATAGTTGGAAGGGACCTTTAAAGTCACTCATAAATCAATATACTTTATTATTTGTACTCTGACATTAAAAGCAACATAAAAATGAAAATTACCAGCAACCAGTCGCCTAAAAGAAACTTCTTTCTACTCTCTCACATACATGTTAATGGAATACACCTCTGAACTAAACACAATTTAAGAAACTATAATTATGATGTTCAAAGACATCTAAGTAGGAAGATATACTTGAATATAAAATAAGTTGGTTAGATTGTTTCTATTAAATTTGTATGCAAGTTCTGATAAAGTTAAAACTTGCTAAATGTATTTTGCAAGCTCCTGGTTTATTAGAAATTTTATAGATCGCTTAGTATTTATGAAAACAAAAAATCCACTCACACAATTCATTTAAAAATGGAGGGAAAAAACAACTGCTATAGAAAGATTTTTTGGTGGTGTTTAAGACAATCTACTGAAGCATGGCCGTATGTTCAGGAAACTGGAGTAGCTGGTATAAACATAGAACTATGAACTGATACTCTCTCACATACATGAAGCATACACTTTTCCAATTTTGCAATCCTGGGACACATACTTTACTTAGAGTTATCATTTCAAGTGCATTTAGTGCAACCATCTTGTTAATAATACAAACTACATTAGCAAACTAGTATCTCAATTGTTTGTAAAACAATTGAAAGGTCTTTCCTGTTAAAGTGATGTTTTCGTAATGTACTTTGTACGACCTTTCATTTGATATACGACAAGCATACCTTCTGAAACTTTTCGCATTTTACACTTAATGACCCCATCCGCCTTAATTTTCGAGATCGGAAGTATGATATATGTAATGTAGACTTGATGATCTTTCATTTGATATGCGACAACGCCATGTTCTAGAAAGTTTGATTTTAGCACTTAATAACCCCATCCAACTCATTTTTTGAGGACAGGAATCTGATATTTGAAATGTACACGTTACGACCTTTCATTTGATATACAACAACCTTACCTTAAAAGAAAATTTTATTTTTTGCACTCAATGACCCCACCCAACCCATTTTTTGGGGACGTCAATTTGATATTTGAAATGTACGCTTCATGGACTTTCATTTGATATGCGACAACCTAACCATCTGAGAAGTTTGAATTTTTTGCACTAAATGACCCTACCCTTCCCACTGGAATGAAAAAGGGGTTTAGAATTTTCATTTTTGAGTAGGTTTTAAGACCTTCAATTTGATATATCAAATGACCCCATTTGGCAAAGTGCCAAAAATGATGCAATATCAATTGTATAAATAGAACTTATGAAACTCACAAAGTCAATGCAAAACATGAAAATTTCAAATTGATTTTTTGGGGTTTTTTTTTGTTGAATGTTTTTAGTATTTGGTCAAACATATAACCATGTTAAACTCTTCACTTTCTGAAAATTTCAGGTGGTTACCTGTTGTTAATTCAGAAATATATGCCTCCGCTCGCAAAATTTCAAACTGCATTATCTCTAAAACGACAATAGATATCTCAAATCTGTTAAATGATAAACGATCTGCAGTTGTATAAAAATTTGGGACAATTCCAAAGTTCATCAAGGTCACAATGAATCATCAAATATATGATGCAATATCAAACTTGAGAACCGGAAGTCGTAGAGACCTGGGACTACCACCATCAACTCAGGACTACTTGACTTTTCAAATGTCAAAAAGTCAAGGTCATAGTACACTCTGAAGGTCAAGGTTAAATTTCATCATGACCTGACCTTGACCTCAAATTGAAGGTCTTGAATTACTGATCATCTTTCCAGTTTATAGAAGGTTGATATCTGTTACCTTTAAAAATATATACATATGTTATTATAGTTTTAAGAATTATGTTAATGTAACTTTTGAACAGACGGTCGGACATTTTTGAGCTTAATGTATAAAATGTAGAGCTCGCCGAGAGGAACATTTTATACACAGTATGTATGCAGCAAACTCTTTATCGTTTCTTAAAATGCAAGCTTCAAATTGCAGCGTAATTTTTTCTTGCACTCAGTGACCTTTGACCTTGGATGCAAATTGAAGGTCACATGAACTTTGAAGATTATTGGTGTAGGTCACAAGTCTCTACGACTTCCAGTTCTCGAAATACAATTTTTCTAAAATTGTGTATATTTTTTCAAGAGAAATAACTCCTTATAAGGGTCAATAACAAAATTATTTTATATGTTCATTAACATTGCCATCTGTTCTTGTACATGTTGCCGTTTTCAAATCGATTCTATCCCTTATACTTTTTGAGAAAAATGTAAAAGAAAGAAATTGCTTCAAGAGGATATAACTCGCATAGGGGATAATGAAATCCTATGCAGTCTCATATGTTAGTCATGAGGAGATCTACCTATTATCTAAATAAGGTCGTGATATCTTAAAAAATAACGAGAGGGGGCCATGTCGAAAAAATCCAATAAAAGGGAGATAACTTCTACAGGGGATGATGAAATCCTTAACAGGGTCATGTGGTAATACCTCATGATGAGGTCTATCGATGGTCCATATTTGGTCTTGATAACTTCAACAGAAACGGGGGGAGGGCATTCCCAAAAAAATGTTGGAAGAAAAAAAAGAAAAAAAAAAAACATTAGAAAAACAATAAGGTCTTTCCTAACGGAGTGGAAAGACCTTAATTAGATAATATTCACAAGAAGTTTTTCAGATATTTAGAAATAATATGTGGTATAATTGCCAATGAGACAAATCTCCACCAGAGACCAAATGACATGGAAGTTAACAACTATAGGTCACCTTACTGCCTTCAGCAATAAGCAAAACCCATACCGTATAGTCAGCTTTCTTTTCTTTTCTTTTCAGGAAATTGCAATCCAGCATTCATTCGTTCAACTATGTATAATGTACCATGCACATCAGACATGATGAAAAGTAGCCATATACCATTTGCAATGTCAATATGTCCTTTTGCCAAACTTAGAGATGAGGAGGTAATATTATTTGATAGTGATTTTTTTGGTTTTAGGTATTTCACAGTTAGTGAAGACGAATTAAATAAATGAATATCAAACCATAAAGTGAATACAAATTAAATAAATGAATATCAAACTATAAAGTGAATACGAATTAAATAAATGAATATCAAACCATAAAGTGAATACGAATTAAATAAATGAATATCAAACTATAAAGTGAATACAAATTAAATAAATGAATATCAAATTTTATGGTTATCAGAAACTATTATAAGACTGGCTGATGCATTTATACGAATTCTTTACAACCGAAAGTGTCATTTCATATATATTGTCCATTCAGTCTACTAATTTATTTTATAAATTTTGATTAACATGAGAACTACTTACAAGTGTATTTAATAAAGCTGAATCAGTTATCTTCATTCTAAAACTAAATTTTTCATTTAAGGCAAATTACTTGTAAAAAGGTTGATGGCATATTGTTAAGATGGTAAACATTTTAGAAAGTTGCTTAATCAAGTTGTGATGTTGTACTACTCGGTTAAAAATAAGATATATTTTTTTATAATTGTAAATTTTTTTAATTTTTAATTCTGTTTCAGCTACCCCCACCAATTGTAAACATGGGAGAAGTAGGTCCAGTCAGATGTAAGAGATGTAAAGCATACATGGGTCCGTTCATGACATTTGTTGATGGAGGGCGTCGTTTCCAGTGTGTCTTCTGTGGAGCATCAACTGACGGTGATTATCTCTTACTAATTATTATGAAAATTTTAAATTTTAATTACATTCTACTCTGTAATTTACATGGTCAGTTGAAATTTAGGACTTTTTAACTTTTTCCTGCAGTCTATTCTGTGTCTGTCATTTCCTATTTGTCATTTGGAAAAGTGTTTTTATCCCTTATGCAATTTGGGCAGGACTTTAAAACTTGTAATAGGCAAGTATGTTATATGTCCAAGGACTGAGGATTCCTGCAACAATAGTAAGAACTCAATGAAACTATTTCTGTGTGTACAATGAACATTAGTTTATGTATTTGTTAGGTTTCCAATGAAATTAATATTATTTTTGTTTACTACCAAGTAAGAGCTATAATTGTCATTATAAAGCAATCAAATTGTTGAACAGGTAAAGAACCTGTTTCACCAGTATGTCTATATATGTACTATAGCTTATATAAAATTCGTGGTTCACTAAACAAATAGCAAACTTTAATTGTAAGTTCTAGACTCAAATGGTTACCTATGAAAAAATTTAAAATTGCATTAATTTTTAACATGTCAGATCACACAAATATACATATCATTGCAAGTATGTGTTTATTAACTTCTTGTAAAAGTGGCTATTGATGGTTATTGAATAGTTAACCTACCTTGTTTAAACTGTTTGATTATGTAGACAAAAATTTCAAAATGATGTTTGTTTTGCAGTTCCACAAGAATATTTCAATCACCTTGATCACACAGGAAAACGAGTGGATGCATATGACCGACCAGAATTGTGTTTAGGATCATATGAATATGTAGCTACAAAAGATTATTGTAAAGTAAGTTCATTGGTGTTTAAAAAGCATTTATTTATTGATAAACCCCTCCTCAAACAGTCAGGGGCATTACTTAAACAAGTAACATTTAAAATTACCTGTACAAGTAATGTTGAAAACGAGGCTATTTTAAATATTACTTATATAAGTAACTTTTCTAAATATTATTTTTATAGGTGTCCAACTATGCATATTGTACTAGCTTTAACAAATTTTCACGGTCATCTGGTTATTTTTCCCATGATATATAAAATCTAATCTTTTTGAAACACTAATTGCCTTTCTGACGCACTTATCTTTCATATCAACGCTTTTGTGTCAAAGATTGGTTCCTTGGGACTATTAAAATATCATTTTCCTCAAAAATCTTGAAGGTAGACAGATATAAATAGATAGAAACTTGTGGATTAATTAAGACTTGAAGTTATTTATAATTTGTAACCAAAAACACTTACATATGTTCCTTAAATAAGTGGTATTACTAATTCTTTCAAAGATGTATAAAATAACTTATTCAAGTAATATTTTTGTCATTATTTTTAAAGTAACCCTTTATCTCTATACTCCTCTAAAATCTAATAAATTCATCATTTTATGATATAAAATAATGTAAAAATTCATGAAAACTGTATTTAGTCCATGCTTCTATTGAAATTTAAAATAACTCTATTGAGTAATTTTATAATTTTTAAAAACAAAAATTACCTATGTAAGTAACTAAAAAAAATTACTTGTTTAAGTAATGCCCCTGACTGTCAAATATATTTGAATAGAAATATTATAAGTGATTTATGTTGTGTATCTTTGTACAGTTATAAAGCTGCAGGTATTAAGATAACATTAGGCAAAGGTATAAATAGATTGAAAAGAAGTTAAATATTTAATTGAAAATATATAAGGTGAATCAACGGTAAAGAACTTTTTTTTGGTGATTCATGTATAAATCCTTTTTGTCTTGCCTGGAAGTAAGACATAGGGGTGCTGTTCTCTGGGAGGACAACAGCAGTGGCGGCCTCAACAATTGTTGAAATTCCTGTTTACTTCAGTTTAAGAAGGTCCACAAATGGTATTTCTATGGAGATTATTTGGTTTGACCCTTCAGTCATTGTCCATTCGGCATTGACTTTGAAAGTAAACAGGTTAAGTGTTGTTATTTAATTTTCAACATTGGCAGTTTTCTATGGAAACTATATACAGGCAAGACATATCTCTGTGTCAACTATTTATAATGTATTACAAATGAAAAATGTTGCAGTATTCATAAATGAATAGTTTAAGTTGGTGTATTTTTCTCTTTGTAGAACAGTTTATTGCCAAAGGAACCTGCCTTTATATTTATGATAGATGTGTCATATAATAGTGTAAAAAGTGGTCTAGTCCATCTCATCTGTGAAAGATTAAAATCAGATATATTGTCATATTTGCCAAAGTAAGTACATGTATGTTATACACTACATATTCTTCCACATGTGATAGCCCTATTGACTATTTAACTTCAAAGGTTTGTTGAATTTGTTTTTGATGTTTCTATGCAGGTCAACTTCCATTCTTTGGTATTCTGATGATTTAACAATTTTTTTTCAAGTTACTACATCTATTCAGTAAGTCTGAAGACTCTCTTCTAGAAAAAAAATCCCAATATTGCTAACTTAATACAAAATATAAGTTCAGGTTTATTTTGTTTTCATTTAATGACCTTTTAAACAAATCAGAACAATCTGTATTGTAGTCAAGAAACATAATACAAAAATAAGATGTGGTATGATGTCTCAACTCTTCACCAGAGACGAAATGACATAGAAGTTTACAATTATAGGTCACTGTATGGCTTTCAACAATGAGCAAACCCTACACCGCATAGTCCGCTATAATAGGCCCTGAAATGACAAATGTAAAACAATTCAAATGAGAAAACTAACGGCCTGATTTATGTACAAAACAATGATCGAAAAACAAATATGATATACAGCAATAAACGACAACCACTGAATTACAGGCTCCTGACTTGGGACAGAAACATACAGTTTACAAGATAATTTATGAATATGTCAAAGAAAAATTAAATCATAAATCACACCCTGTACATATTTAGATTCATGATATGTGTTCTTGTATTACAGGGATATGGGTGCAGAAGAATCTGAGGTCAGAGTTGGTTTTGTAACTTATGCAAAAGAAATACACTTTTATAATGTTAAGGTAAGTTTGTTGTTTGTTTTACAGTACACTTAAGGTGATTAAGTTAAAGTTGCTATTGCTAAAGTTGAGTTAATCACTTTTAAAGCTGGTAATTGAAGGTGATATATCTCTCAGGATTTACAACCCTGTCATATCACTATTTGCATGTACAGAGAAAAAGCTTTGAGTGAATTGACCTCACACTCTGTGCCATGATTGATTTTTAACTTAATAACTCTATTTGTCTGGTATTGAAAGCATTGTTGTAAAAGGACATCAAATAAAAGGAGAAACAAATTTGTCAGCAAAATTAAATATATAAATATCTGACTCAAATGCAGTGTGCAGCATATAAAATTGATGAATACATGAAAAAAGAGAACTTGCAAGGCATATGTATATAAAAACATTCTTATATTTGAAAAAAAGTCGAAACCAATTTTGAACTTTAAAAAATGCATGTGATATTAGAGAATCTGACCCTTAATGAAAAAAAAGGGATACAGTGTATTAATTCATAAACCTAATTCCCTACACACACTTGACAAACCCAAAGCAAAGGAACATATTTTTTTATTGCTGCCCTTCATCTCAAATCACATTGAAGCCTTCCACAAGTAACAAAAGCCCTTACCTCATGTATGAATTCACATTGGTTTGTAATTTAATATGAGGATTTTTTTTATAGAGTAATTTAGCACAGCCACAAATGTTGGTGGTATCTGATTTAGAAGATGTATTTGTTCCTTTACTTGATGGTTTCTTGGTCAAATTATCAGAATCTGAAGCTGTAATTGATAGGTAAGTTGATACATATGAATAAGAAGATGTGGTATGAGTGCCAATGAGACAACTATCCATCCAAGTCACAATGTGTAAAAAGTAAACAATTATAGGTCAAAGTATGGCCTTCTAAATACCATATGTTTATTCAAAGTATAGTCTATATATACCTATGTGGTATATTTATGCACATCATAGTCTGCATTTTTGGTAAGGTAAGATCTAAGTTGGAACTGAAATTACAAAGAATACTCTGAGCGGACAGATCTTTGCTATAATTTTTATATGCTTAGTGGAATAGCAGTAAATACAAATATTCAAGTCTTTGGTTTTACTTGGCAAAGGATCGAATCAATAAACTCCAAGGGTTGATTTGAGCAAGAGGTAAAAGCAGTAAAAGGGCAATATTACAAGGAGGGGCGGGGAAGATGAAAGAAGGTGGAAAATGAAAACTTGGAGAGGGAAGAGCAAAGACTAGAGAAAACTTGACCCTATTTATTTAAAAATTCCAATTTAATTTTTTGTGATATTAGATCATATTATATTGAGGATTCTTGATTTTGTCATTCTCTGATGAAAGCAACTGAAAAAAGGCATTGCATCATATTTATCAAAATTTCAATTCACCATCAAATGTAAAAATATGAAATCTAAATGATTCTGAAAACTTTTATCTTGCTGTAAAATATCAAAGCTATGTCTAGTCATTGCTGTGCATTAATTTGTATTTTCCTCTTTTCAGTCTTTTATCACAAATCCCTCAGATGTTTGCTGAGTCTAGGGAAACAGAAACAGTCTTAGGACCTGTTATTCAGGCTGGTCTTGATGCATTAAAGTCTTCAGATAGAACCGGAAAACTGTATATATTCCACACGTCATTACCCATTGCTGAAGCTCCTGGCAAGTTGAAAAACAGAGACGATAGAAAATTATTAGGCACAGACAAAGAAAAGGTAAATAAAAGAGATAATTGGATTTTGATATTTGACATTTAGGTCTATTCATTGATTTTCTTTATCTTTGTGCCGGTAATTATGTACATCTTATTGATTGATTGATTGGTGGTTGCTTTACGCTGCCTCAGCACAAAAAGGCGATATCACGGCAAGATACATCTTATTTCTTTTTCCATTGAAATTTTGAGTGAAATCATTACCTATGAGCAGTTTGTTATCGATTTGACTATCATAAGACAAAGATTTTTTTGCATTGTATGCTTCCTTTAATCTGACCTGTTAATTTGTCTTATGTTATAAATGTGAAGAAAAAAAATTGTTTATTCCATAGAAAGTAAAAAATACAACCCTCTTTATATTTCAGACCATATTGACACCACAGAACAATTTCTACACTAAATTGGGCCAGGAATGTGTTGGGGAGGGTTGTAGTGTTGACTTATTCCTTTTTCCTAATTCTTATATTGATGTGGCAACAATAAGTGAAGTCAGTCGACTAACTGGAGGCAGTGTGTATAAATACAGTTACTTCCAGGTAAGTGATAATTAGATTAGCTGGTTACTATGATTACCACTGTTAAAATGCAGAAGATAAGAAGTAAAAAATAAAAACTTGATCTGTTGTGGAGCAAAACATTTCTTTTTGTCTTGTGAATTTCGTTTTAAATTACATTTGTACCTTTGGTCTTATCGTCTCACATGACAACAAAGCTGTAGTGACAAACGAGATCACTTCTGTCAGCTTGCTTTGTCATCATAGTCCCGTAAACTTTGTTAATCTAGAACTCCTTGAAAACAACCAAATTTGCACATATTTTTCTACACGACATGAAGTTGTGCATCTAATATTTTCATTTTTTATCCAAATGAGGGTTTTCCATACCAAAACAATGGCCAGTAAAGTTTGGTTATTTTGTAGGCTGATTTAGATGGTGATAGATTTTTAGAAGATTTAAGAAGAAATATCCAGAACCAGGCAGGATTTGATGCCATACTCAGAGTCAGAACAAGCACAGGTATTGTCACAATTCTTAGTTTCTCATTTTAAACCATAGTATTAGCCCTGGCAGAGAAAGATGATTAAAATTTGACATTTACAAACCAACCTGAAACCTTTCTACTTTGACTTAGATACAGTAAAGTATTACTTGCTTAAAAGTGAAACTGTCATCTGTAAGATATGTGCATCTACAAGTAATGTTTGTAGCAGTTTTACTTTGACTTTTTTATGCCCCCGCTGTAGCAGTGGGGGCATTAAGTTTTACCCTTGTCCGTCTGTATGTACGTACGTCCCAAAATTGGTTTCTGTTTTCTAACTTGAGTTTGCCTCAACCAAATGTTAAGAAACTTATACACAATGCTTATTACCACAAAACACAGATCAATTTTGGATTTTGGTGGCGTCACTTTAACCGTTCTAGAGTTATGCCCCTTTATAAATGGAAAAATTGCAAAATTTTTAGTTTCCGTTCTCTAACTTAAGTTTGCCTCAACCAAATGTTATGAAACTTATACACAATGTTTATTACCACAAAACACAGATCAAGTTTGAATTTTGGTGGCGTCACTTTAACCGTTCTAGAGTTATGCCCCTTTATAAATGGAAAAATGGCAAAATTTTTAGTTTCCGTTCTCTAACTTAAGTTTGCCTCAACCAAATGTTATGAGACTTACACACAATGCTTATTGCCACAAAACTCAGATCAAGTTCAAATTTGGGTAGCGTCACTTTTACCGTTCTTCAGTTATGTCCCTTTATAACTATATGATATGCAAGCAGGGGCATCCACATGTGGACACTATCCACATTTATTCATAAATAACTCATTCCTGAAAATCAAACTGCTTGAAACTAATCACACAAAAAGTATTTAGCACATGAAATAGAAATAATGCAGATAAAGATTTTAACAGCATAATATTAAAATAAAAATTCCAAAAAATTTAAGTTACTCAGTAGTTCATGAGAGCTGCATATTATGACTGATGGATCTGTTAGATATTATTGTGTTAGCTAGGATTTAATTAATTCTTTAGTTATTATAAATATTCTTATTTATGTAATGAAATCTCCCTATGTCATCAGTTACACAGTTACAAGATGATTTGATATACATGTAATATAGCCATCTTGCCCTAATGTGGAATTATGAATACTACAGATCAATCATTAGAATTTACTATGAGCAATTATCTATATAATGGCTGTTTCTTAAACAACAAACATGTGACCCAGGGCAGGCACTTGGAAATCTCAACTATTGTTATATGGTGGGTGTCAAATACTGTTTCGTAAAATGAGAATGTAAGTGAAATTCTAAAATTGGCTTTATAGGTGCTAACACCATTTCAAAGCACCTTCTCTGGTAACCATATAAGTTTTAATGGAACAGCCCTAAGGGAGATATTGAAAAATAATTTTCCATAAGGTAATAAAATGATTTGCAGGAACATTCAAGAATTAAAATTGGCATAGCTATTAGGTTGTATGTATATGTTGGAAAATATATCCAATATTTAAAAAAAAAAATTCTATTTCAGGTATACGCCCTGTAGATTTCTATGGGAACTTTTACATGTCTAACACAACAGATGTAGAAATGGCTGGAGTAAATTGTGATGATTCTTTGAATGTAGAAATTAAACATGACGACAAGCTGTCAGAAGGAGATGGTGCTTATGTTCAGGTTATTGCCTATATTTAACTATTTACCTTCAATAAAAAATAAAAACGATTGTAGGGGTATTAATAATGAAAGAACTGAAGGACTTTTTATCAAAATATTAGAATATTAGAAAATCATTGATTTCTACGTCAATATATGGAATAATTGATATCCTGATGGAAGATCGTGAAATGATACAGTTATCTGTAGATTCTCTTCAAAAGCATCATAATAAATTGCAAGTGGAATGATTTTATTTTCCAATACATTTTTATTTAAGATTTTTTAATGAATTATTGATGTGCAATCTTGTTCACTGGAATTAAGGAATATTTTTGTCAATTTATAATTTTAGGTTGCTGTACTGTATACATCTGTTGGTGGTCAGAGACGATTACGTATTCATAATTTATCTTTCAATTGTTGTATGCAAATGTCAGATTTGTTCCGTAGCTGTGAACTTGATGCTCTTATTAACTTCTATGGTAAACAAGGTATGTATCTTGACTGGAATTTGTATCTAATGATTATATAAAGTCTTCTTACTGAAAGGAAATTTGCCTAAAATAATCTTTAGCCATTTGAAAAAGTTTCATGAAGTTAAATATTAAAAAACACATATATTAATGGTAGTTCTACATGGGGTAGATCACCTTATTCTTTTTTGACAAAGGAGACAAAATGCCATTTTGTCTCGCCTGTGATGAAAGTCGTGAAAGGTGAAACATAGCTGTTGTTTTTCTGGCGGCGTCAACAGTTTTTGAGTTTTCTGCTTAAGTCAGTTCGATAGGAACTACTTGTGATAGATCAATGATATTGTCTATAAAGTTGCATTACTATCAATACATATCATTTTGACCATTTTAAGGGCCACCCACCCTGTAGGTCATGGTCAAGTGACTTTCAATAATTACCAAATTTTCTGCTTAAGTTATTTTGATAGGAACTACTTGCGATAGATAATTATATTTTCTATAAAGTTGCAGATTACAATCAGTACATCTCAGTTTGACAATATTTTTGATGCACTGCCCTCTTTGTCATGCATTGTCCAGGAACTTTGAATTAATTAGCAATGTTGCTGTCCATCAGATTTGTTTTGTTTTTTTTATTTTCTGCAGACAGTCCAGACATATCTCTGTGTCTACAGTTGATTTTAAAAGATACCTTGAACTGAATAAGAATAACCTGTACATCAAAAGCACTAATAACAATATTTATTTTTGTCATTTTTCAGCTATTAAATCATTACTGAATAATAATCCATGTCAAGTACGGGAGAGTATAACTAATGATGTTGCCCATATACTGGCCTGTTATAGAAAGAATTGTGCCAGTCCGTCATCTGCTGGACAACTCATATTACCAGAATGTATGAAATTATTACCAGTATATGGAAACTGTGTATTAAAGAGTGATGGATTAAGGGGAGGTAAGACATTATATAATATATGGTCAGATAATATTCAAATGATTAGTAATTAATAGGAAAGTCTAAGATAACAGTTATTGGAAGATGATATTATGCAATTAATGGGCAAAATCATCTCAATCCTACACGCTTTGGGTTTTGCATTACCCTGTTGGTTAAGAAAAATTGTTGCAATTATTCTAAATTATGTGAAATTAAACAGAATTATAAGTTATCGTTAATTACACTAAACTAGGTATACACTGCAATGAATTCTGAATCAAGGAAAAATTTGAATTTATGCTTTTATTAGCTTTAATATTGAGTTATGATATTGATCAGTTTTCCTTAACACTTTGTTTATATGGTTTCTTGATTTAATAGACAACTTTCAAATGCGTACATTTCATATGTTATTGTGTCACAGTAAGAACTGATCAACCAATGTAACTCATTTATAAAAAAACAACTCAAGATTAGTCTATAGGATAGGTAATTTTTTAAAGAATTTATTGTTTTATTGCTTCAGGTCAAGAGATATCAACTGATGACAGAAGTTATTTAATGTTTATAATGAATTCTATGGATGTGAAATTTTCAAATGTGTTCTTTTATCCAAGAATTTTCCCAGTTGTAAGTATATATATATGAATATATGAGTTGTCAGTAAGGATACTTGTTTGGTTTTCATACATTTAACCCTTACTTGACACACATTGCTTTATCAGCTAAGTAGTAAATACTAATTAAATATGCAGCCTCGTTGACATCGTGTGCAAATGAAAGATCCATAAAACATTGAAATATCTGAAGGTCACTATTGCATTCAACTATTAGAGGGTACTCATACTTTAGAAAAAGATGGATGACTATAAATTCAACACAGAAAATAATATCAGGTCCGATGTATCTGATTTCATTTGTTAATTTTTGTTTACAGTAAAGGAAATGGCATTTCTTCACATTTCAGCATGGAGTGATATATCATTAACAGGTTCAAGAACATGTAAACAACAAGAAACTTTTAACTATCAAGTATTTCATTCTCAATTTCAGCAGAATACAGTTTTTAGTCAAACTTTTATAAATGATTATATCATGTATATTTCAAATAAATTTTATACAGTGAGACCTATCTAAAATCATACTTTATAGGACTGAGGTGTATGCTTTGTTTAGACAGGTGTTTATTGAACTCAGGTTATATTATAGTTATATTCGTTGTATGTCCTTATGAAGAAGTCCGGTTTGCTCATGTTTCTTGTATATGTCACATTTTGGGTTGGCCATGTTTATGAAAATAAGGAGATGTGGTATGATTGCCAATGGACAACTATCCATCAGAGTTCAAATGATGTGGATATTTGCAACTATAGGTCACTGTATGGCCACTGTTTTTTTAACATCAATATCTAATAAATCAGTAATTTAACATTAAGAAAAACTTAATAGATATTTATTGTCTGTCTATTGTATAAATGTAATCCTATTTTCAGCATGATTTAGACGATGAAGCTACAGATATACCCGTCAGTATACGTTGTTCAGCAGAAAGATTGAGTGAAGATGGTGTTTATTTATTAGGTAAGTTGAATATAAGATGACATAAACTTTTAATCCCTATGCATTTATTTTGGTAAAATAGGAAATTTTTAAAGCTTTGGAGGGGATAAAGGTAACCATTCAAATACATTATTAAACTGCCACAGCAAGAGCATTCTTTTGTTATTGGGTCCCCTACAAAACTGAATTCAGGTAAACACTTGTCAAGACCTAGATCAGTTGAAATATACTGGATAAATTAAAAATGAAATGCATTATTTAATTATATAATGGGCTTCTTTCAAGTTTACTTTAATCTCAAACCATTTAATTAACAGAAAATTTAGAATGGGAAGCCTTTTATTGTAGAGCTGGGCTTATACAAATACCATATCTTTAAGTCATAGTTGTTTCTAAGGTATTTGTAGTGCTTTCTCTTATTCTGGATTTGTTGATGGATACTGTAAATTCAGAAATTATTGCGTTCATTTATTATTGCGATTTTTCAAGAATGGACAAAAATGCGAGTTTTATTATTGCGATTTCGAAAAAAAAGTGCAGACATGTCTATATATATGTTATCAGAATACAAGTTCTTATGATTGCGATACTCACCCAGTCGCATTATTCACATTAATAAAAACCTTGCAATAATTTCTGAATTTACATTTTACATTAAATTTGATTACACTAACAAATGAATTTTAAGTTTATGAAGATAAGCAAATTTCTATATTTTCTTTGCAGAAAATGGTATATCGATGTTCTTGTGGATAGGACATAATGTTGACCCACACTGGGTACAACAAGTATTTAGTGTTCAGAGTGTGGCACAGATAGATATAGATAAGGTTAGCATTTCATTGTTATATATATTTTAATTTTGTTACAAAAGTTTATACTGAGAGAAGCAAATTTATTGAAAACTGCAAGGTTAGTAATAAGTTTTTATTTATATTCATCTATCAAAACAGATAAAAAAAAAAAAGAAGAAAAAAAAAACAACAACAGAAAATGGCAAGAAGCATGAATGAATAAATTAGTAAAGATTTATTACTAATGGCTTAAAAATCAACTTTGAATAGAGGTGAACCATAATCATATATTATGGTGAAAATGTATAAAGTTCGGATACAGATTATACAACATAAATATATCACAATTGCATGCAATTTACTTTTAATAGGCAATCAATATGACATCAGATTTGTTTTATGTGTCATATCTTTCCAAGGTTTCATTTATTAGACCTGTTCAGGTCAATTTGCAAATAACTTGATTACCTGATTATTTTCACTCAATTAATATTGTAAAGTATGATTTAATTCATGAACAAGATTTCTTTTACCTGCGATGTTATTGTGTTTTGAGGACAAAACTGTTTTATTTGTCTATTTAACTGTTAAAAATATTTTATTTTTCAGAGTAAAATCCTGGACCTTGATAATCCAGTATCAATCAGACTCCGAGAAGTCATAGCTAAAGTCAGGTCACAAAGATCAAGATGTATGAAGGTCAGTAAATGTAATAGTATTATTACATTGTAGAAGAAATGGTGCAGTTCTATTCAATCTGTTAGATTTAAAGGGATTTACTTCTTTCTTTTCTTCCATGCCAAGGACTGGATAATAAGAATTAATTTGTAGTCTATTCAATACATTTTTAAACAAATTATTAACCTTTTCTTTATATTCATCAGAAATTTAAAAAAAAAACATCTTTTCTTTTGTAACTTCAAAATCACAAACAACATGTTTTGTGTAGGAGATGACTGTCAAGACAAAGCATGCCTAAATATGTTTTGGTGGTGTAAATGTAAGATATATTCCTATGAAAACTAATATATATTAAATTGTTACTAAAAATTCTCACTCTGAATTACTTTCCTGTGTATGATGTTTTTCAGTTTTAACTAAGTCAGTAAAAATTGTTTTTTTTAATTTTCAGTTGACAATAATAAGACAAAGAGACAAATTAGAACCCTGGTTTAACCATTTCATGGCTGAAGACAAAGGAGCCAACGGCAGCAGTTCTTACGTAGACTTTCTATGCCACATACATAAAGAGATTAGGAATTTAATGAACTAATTGTTATTATGGTGCAAGGACTCTTTTATTCACAATTAAATCTACGATTCATGCATATCTCGGATTTGTCATCAACATAATAGACTAGAGATTATTTGCATGATATTGACGAAATCCTAGCCGAGATTAGAATGGATTATCGGAGCATTAATTCAAAAAGAATTTGAAGCTTTGATTGTTTCAAACCAAAGGAAGAGAAAATCTCTTAATTTTTTAACCAATTTATTTTACTCTATATTCATGTGGAAAAGTAAAGAGCTTCATTGTAGAGAGATTCACAAACCTAGTGATAGTTGAATTTCAGTTAATGGGTTCATGATTTCAATGAAAATTATCATCGTCATATCATCTATAGTCAGAAAATTCAGCTATAGGGTAGTATTTAAATACTACACAAACTGAGTGTAGGAAATTATTCAATCTAAACCTTGCAGTTGTATGACAATACTTTGGATTCATTTATATTCATGGATTGAGGAAAAAATGTATTTTCCAGGATATTTGATTTCATTGTTTTGTCAGTCTTCACGTACTAGGTTATAAAAAGATTGTTCTTTGTTGAACATTTAAATATGTGGTTCACATATACCCCCAAATTCTATGATAATTGGTTTCCTTTTAATGATAATGAATACACAGTAACAATGTAAGAACAATTTGATGTCCATGCGAACCTCTTTTATAAAATTATGAAATGAGTAAAATAAATTGGTTAATTATTATTTTGTTTTGTTGTAATTAAATTTATGTCACTTTCAACATAACCAGTCCATATATATATTAAAAAAATAGGGTTCTCATAGGGGTACAAAAACAATATTTCAGAGTTCTCGAAAAGTGGTGGTCCAAAGGTTTTTGACTACCAAAATTTTGCAAAGGGCCTACACCATTTTAGTATTTTCGAGTAGAAATAATAGTGAAGAACAGGAGATAGGGCCACCAGGGGAAAAAAAGATTTGAAGAACTCTGCAGTGTCAGACATGGAAAACAAATGAAACATTACAAACAGCGATATTTTATTGAATGTTGTGATGAAGCATATATCTCTTATGTATTTAAGTCTTCCTGTGATAACCTAGTCAGATGCAAGTATTTAAATTTGTAAAATTTATATGAACGCTTAAATTTTTTCTTAGATAGGTTGTCTTCTCTTGATACAGATTTCAGAAATAATCATTTTTATGAAAAATAATGCTGAATTACAACCATGGAATATAATTATATTAGATAGTTTATATTTTAAGTTAGCTCAAAGTGTTAAACATTTTTTTTCATCCTATCAATTTTGGTTATAGCTATTTACTAACACACTCATTTATATGCATTCAACGGCTACAGTAAAGTGTACACCCTCCATTTAAATCAAATTGCATATTTAATAAAATTCTATATGCAGTACAGTAATGAGCTTACTATACAGTATGGGTTTTGCTCATATGTCTCCAAGCTATGTTATGTTAATAGATTATGAAGCTAAGATGGTTATATATGAAAAACATTTGGTGACCTTCAGTTGTTTTAACCCTTGTCCTGCAGTAATTGGTGGCAAGTTGTCTCATTGGCAATCATACCACATTTCCAAACTTCTATATAATGTAAATTAATATCAATGTATATTTTTTTATTTCCCGGCACCATAGTGCTATTAGAATTTACTTTTATGTTAAAACACTGATTTAGTTGTTGTATTGGTATCAGTAGTGCTTAATGGTAATCGGTTGTAATGTCAGTATTTAATATGTAGTTATAAATATTTTCACCATTATGTCTGTGTTAAAAACGATGGATGGATGGCTGTTTAACTTGCAGTGTATTAATAAAATATACAGATATAATAGATCTTAAATATGGCTACATAATGATTTAAAGGAAAAGTTTGAGAATTTTGACGTGTAGGAGTAGAATTATTTTAAAACAATTTAATGGATTTTAAGTTTTAGAAGAATTGTTTATAAAAGTCATTTGGGTATCTTGACAAACCAATCATATCATTAGCTAATCTAATCTCAGATATATTTTTGGAAATATTTATTTCTATATATTAAACAATATACTGTATAAATATTTGAGAATATGCCTCTAAGTCTGTATAAAACCAATTGAGTTGCTATATTTATAAAAAAGTTAACACGGAAAACTGATGTTAACTGTTCCAAATCAAAATAAACTTGAGTGTACTTGTCTCTGATATAAAGTTTATTCCAAGAATACAACTGTTTCCCTTTTGAAATCATGAAAGCAAGCATGGCAGTCGATATTCAAGGAACTACTGTTTGCGATGTAAACATATAAAGTGTCTTTTGGCACAATTGTGATATTAATATAAACAATTTAATGATCACTTAAATGATTTAATCATATTTTATGTGCAATATCCTACAAAAGTATAGATAATGAAGCCATAAGTAAAACTGTTATATTAGATTGCCTAACATAGGTTTTTTATTCAGAGTTCAATAATGTTAAAGCTAACTTAAGGGGACAGAAAATAGGCTCCTATAGTTCAGAGTCCTTTACCACAGGAGGAACACTAATGTATACATACTAAATTCCAATATGGATTTAAAATTTCATACAAGTTTTAAGAGTTCAAGGGTTTAAAATAATCTTTGCTTTACAGAGATTATTACTTGATATAGAATTTTACAAATAGATAATTTCTGTACAACTCAGCCCTCAATGATTATATATTCTATGATTGGTTTTCTGTTTTATATATTGTTTGGCATTGAGAGTAAGTTTCCGAGAAAATGAGTTCATTGATGTAAAACAAACCCAAATTGAACCATTACTGTAAAGTTATTATTCTTTTATGTTATATTGCTATTAAAATTACCCAGTAATTGAGATATACATGTGTTCTGTGTTCATGTACAAAATGTCTGTTTCTGTCTCCGAGCTGTTTAATGTTTATCTGGTTTAAGTGGTATTTATATGAATAGATTCTGTGATATTTTTCAGACCATAATGCATGTACCTATATATTCTTTCAAACTTCCTAACAGTATTGTCAAGTATTAAATATTTGTAAAGAGCCTTCATCAGTTCTCATACATTGTGATGTTTTCTCAAAACATCAACAATTAGGACTTTAAGGTGGTACCCAACACCTTGACTAATATTAATTTGGCTCGTTTAATTTTCCTAAAATTTTGATAAAATGTTAACTTTGACCCTTTGACAAAAATATAAAAATTTCAAATAATTTGAACCAATCACTTTATCAGAAAAATTTCACTGGCTATATAGCAGTTTGACAAACACTAATTTTGATCATCGAGAAGCTTAATATTTCCTTAACAATACAACGTGATTAAAACGTTTAGTTGATTTTTACAGAGTTATCTCCCTGTAGTGTTAGGTACCACCTTAAATATGAAAATTTAAAAAAATGAAAGACTGAAAAGTATTCAGTTTTGGAAATTTTAAGATTATTAGGAACTTTCTTAGGTGCTGGTCTGTCCTAAGTTCAAAATCAGCAATCTGCAAGTAATCTGCACTAAAAATTTCTAAAATAAATAAATGTTTTCCCAGTATGAAAATGTTTTAATATTGTAAAACATCTGCAGTGATTCACACTTTGAAGTTTATAAGGGAAATAAGCATTGGTTAATATGAGCTAAAGAGCTTCATATTGTGTTGTACAGTAAACATTTCAAAATACACATGTGTGGTCCCAAAAAGTCCTAACTGGGTAAGGGATTGATATGTCATTGTTTATAGTATTGCATTTTTGAAAATAATAATAGGCTGGGGTCATCTCATTGTCAGGGAAGACACAAATGTCAGTAAGTAGTTCAGGACTAAGCCATGTCATTGTCGATCGAACGTTTGAAATATAAATAGGAAATATGGATGTATTATGGTCTGAAATGAGATTGACTTGTGACATCTACTAGGAGGATGATATTCATAGAGTAGATTTTTATAAACTGTATTGTATGCATGTACATGTATTAAAGTGTTATTTCAGCTCACCATAGTAAATGCTTACCTTAGAAAACCATGTATATATACCCTTAGAAAGCTGTACAGTTAAATATACAATGGATTTTAAAATCAATTGTTAAAATAAAAGGAAGAATGATAGGATTGTGCAAGTTGAATTAATATATACAAATATTTTGACTTTGACAAGATCTCCCAACCCTTACAGATTTTTTAGATGTATGCATTAATGATAAACTTAAAGGTCAGAATTTTACAAGATCCTCAAGCTAAAACCTGTTTTCTGTGTATATTTCAACATGATTTGTTTGCCAAATAATTTATTTGATGGAAGTATATTTTTTTGTTGCTGTATCTTGTTATATTTGTGGTTCAGGAGTGATAGTGTGAATGTTGACATGTAAATGATGTATAAATGGCAATAAATTATAAATAACATATGGAGGCTTTATTGTTCTTCCCTGGCCTGGACTCTAACTCATGCTACTGAGATATCGTGGCACCAAATCGCCTTGCACTGTGCCTGCCCCGCTAGACCACTCGACCACCTAGGCTCTACAATTATAAAGCTTTCGGTGGCCGGGTGTTACCTTTCCTCATCAGTTTTAATCTAGCTTCCTAATACAGTACATGATATATAAGGCATGAAGATGTAATTGTTACAGATCAGCTGAATTATCTATTGTAAAGGATCCTACAAATTAATGTAAGATGCAGTCACAGAAATATGTGCATGTTGAAGATAATGGATGGCTGTTGAACATCCTTCAGGAAATTATATGCATATTCAAGACGAGAACATGTTAATCCGATTTGAAAATAACCCCGCTTTGTACTAGACTGACACGCTTATCCAGATTTTTAATGTGATAGTTTGCAAGGTAACAGTTCAAAGGAAGACATGTCACCCTACCAGGACACGACTCCGAGCCTTCCAGTCTTTGCTCTTACTCTCTAAAGAACCCACAAACATCCACAATCGAGGCAAATAACAGTACGCTATAACCTATTTGCATGTTGGAAGGCTTTTAAGATTTGATGGTTGGCTATCTTGAAGCTTACGAAATAGAGGCCATTTGAGAGCAAATTAATGTTTTTTTTCAAATCTCCACTAATCACATACATTTATTACCGAATTAGCTTTAATGCTGTTAGTTTACTGCCTCTTTCTAAAAATTCTCCTGTTTTTAAGCAATTTAAATGTAGGGTTTTAATTGAATTAGGCTTGTAACACAGAGATGGAGAATATGGGAAAAGTTGTTATATATAAAGCAAATGTTCAGTGAGTAATCTAATCATTCCTCTCATTAGACATTATCATACTGTTACAAAAATGTCAGGAAAATGGTGGCTGTGCCTTTCTAATGCTGACAAATATTGATGTTAGCATGGTTAATGGGATGCTGACTAAATTTCCTTTTGAATTGCTTATATCCAGAAGTCATACTTAGTGAATTTAAGTAGCTTGATTTGTCACAATCAGAATTGGTCTATGTAGTACAGTTGGTTAATTTTCATAAAGTCAACCTTGCCATTTTTTTATTGAAGGTTTGATTGCCTAAAAACACAATTGTGTCGATACATAAAAAAATGTCAATATCACTTCAGAACAATATTCTTTCATTTCATTTCTTTATCAGTCTTCAATAATTTTATTTTACCATTTACACCACAAAATGGTGTTTTTATTCAATGATACTATATGTACCTAGAAACTTGCATCAGCCTTCTGTGATAAAAAATCCATTACTTTTCAAGTACCGAAGAAAAAACTTTCCAGCAATGAATGTTTTTCTATCCATTCAATAAGAGTTTTGTCTCGCCTGCGACAAGAGAACATAGGAATTACTATCCGGCAGTGGCTTTAAACAATTTGTATAAAGCTTTATAAGAAGGTAGAAAACCTGGACGTTTCATACCTTGCATGCAGAAACCTCATGTTACAAAGTTTCCGTCTGTCCATTGTCGTCCACCTCATTTTCATGGTTTAAGTGACTGTTTGATAAAAATGTTTAGTTGTTTTGTCATGTGAAATACTCACTTATCATGAGTAATAGGATATAACTATATTTGGTATATAGGATCCTGCAAAGTTTACATGTCAGTCAGATAGGCTGCACTTGTCCTCAACGTCATTTCATGGATCAATGACCAAGGTTATGTTTTTGTGGTCAACTCTTTATCTTGGATACTATAAGCAAAAGGTCAACTATATTTGGTGTATGTCTGGTAGGGTTTTATTATCTTACCTTTACCTCATTCACATGAATCATTGAAAAGTTTTTGTGATACTTGCGCATGTTGTAACCCCTTTCAACAAAAATTCAAACATAACAGGCAAGACTTTTCAGCATGTTCACTGTTTCCACATATAAATATTTCCAACAGGCAACAAGGTGAAATGAGTCTCTGCTACCAGCCATATTGGATGGCTAAACTGCACCAAAATTAGAACACTGCAAATAGTATATAGGGAACCATTTTGTTATACATGTATTTGATATGTCCTGATAGTTAAGCAACTTTATATAAAACACCAATGATCTATCACATGTAGTTCCTATCAAACTAACTTAATAGGTATAAAACTTAACATTGAAGATTGCTGATTAATTCAAAGTCACTGAACTCTGACCTAGGGGGCAGAGCCTCGAAATAGTCGTCAAACTGATGTACTGATAGTAATGCAACTTTATATCAATGATCTATCACAAGTAATTCCTATCAAACTAACTTTACAATTGTTGAAGACTATGACGATGTTGTCATCATTGAGCCGGAAATGCAATCCCTGTGTTGCGCTTTCTGCAACTTTCGTCACAGGTGAGACAAAAATCATCGACGGACCATTGAAGCCAAGTGATTGCAGCTGTTGTAAAGGACATTAAAAATTTCCTTAAAAGATTCAATAATACTGCCATATAAAAACTTCAATTTCAGTATTTAATGGTGAAAATTTCATTAATATAAATACAACTAAGAAGATGTGGCAACTCTCCACCAGAGACCTTATGACAGAAGTTAACAACTATAGGCAATCATATGGCCTTCAATAATGACAAAACCCATATCCCAAACCAAGCTATAAAAGGCCCAAAAATGACAAATGTAAAACAATTCAAACAAAAAACTAACAACCTGATTTATGTACAAAACAACAAGCATTCTGTGAGTATTGCCTGGCAATACATAGTCCCCTACCAGTTAAAAATTTATTGTACTGGAACAAAATGCTAACTTGATCTATAACTTGTCATGGTGTAAACTATATAACAAATATCAAGTCAATATCTTCAAGCATGACGGAAAAAAATGTGGAAAATTGATTATTAGAGTAAATTTTCTAAGTCCAAGGACCATAACTCTGCACAAAATCATCAGACCGGAACAAAATTCGAACTTGATCTGTAACTTGTCGTTATTAAACTATATACCAATTATCAATTCAATATCTTCAAGCATGACGAAAAAAAATGAGGAAAACTGATTATTTGAATGAATTTTCTAAGTTCAAGGACCATAACTCTGCACAAAATCGTCAGACCAGAACAAAATTTGAACTTGATCTGTAACTTGTCATGATAAAACAATACACCAATCTCAAATCAATATCTTCAAGCACCAAGAAAAAGTGTGGAAAACTGATTTGCCGGACTGACGGATGGACAGACAGACGGACGGAGTGCAAACCTAATAAACGAAAATCAATGATATACAGCAACAAACGACAACCACTGAATAACAGGCTCCCGACATGGGACAGACATAATGTGGCAGTGTTATACATGTTTGCTGATGCAAAACCCTTCCCCTAACCTGGGACATTGGTGTAACAGTACGACAGGAGAACATGACATACATGTATAGTTTACATATTTATTTCGTCACAGATGATATTACAATAAATAAATACTCAAGAAAATATTATTATACAAATTTCATGCATTAAGAATATGAATTCTGTTTTATGAAGACAACATAAAAATTTGCATAAAAATCAGTTTTTAAAATCACGGTCACAAAACCATTTTCTGTTACATAAAAATCATATATATTTTACATCACTTTCTATCATAATATTATCAAAATATCAAAATCCCAAATTTTTTGTCTAGACATGAAACATTTCCGCTTTAGTTATTTGCAGGATTAAAATGTCATAGATATTTTTGTGGCTTAAAAATTCAAAAACTTGATTTGAAATCCTTCTGGAGGGTTCAGGCTGAATAACATAAATATGTTTTGTTTTAAATGCAATGTGCAATAGTGTTTAATAGGCCAATATATGTGCACATTAATAGTCTTATCACTGGTAAACAGCTCCTTCAAATATATTATTGTAATTAAAATGATCAAGAAAGAGAGACTAAGTTTAAATCAATTTCCTTGGAACAAATAAAATTGTACATTCACATTTTTTATATTCAAGAGAGAGACATTTTGATCCATCACATAGAGATAACATACAAATGTTGAGAGCTTTTCAAAAATTATGTACAAAAAAAACATATTTAGTGTGCAGACTTACATGTTCCCAGGATGGTCTTGAGCAGTTGATCAAATTGATCCATATTCTGTAAAAACTTTTATTACCATTGGTGTCAAGCAACAAATTTTAATATTTAGTTTTCTCTAATTGTGGTTTCATAGATCTATACAAAAAATATATTATCCAGTTCTATATGCATCAATGCATGTCAAGGTGACCTGATTTATTTACATGTCTATGGGAAACAATTTGTAAAGGCCTTGTACAGTTACTAGTAGATTTCTTTGTAAAAGTTTTATGGATCAAATCTGAACTTTAATAAAAAAAAAATTTGTAAAGGGAGCCTGTGTCTAGCCTGTTATTGCTACTGTCATATGTGAAGCGTAATGTAGACAGACAGCCGAAAACTGAGTCCATTCATCAGTAAAATCCAGAAAATATAAAAAACTAGAGGCTCTCAAGAGCCTGTGTCGCTCACCTGTACTTACTGATGCTTTGGAAATCATGTAAAATAAGGTTAAAATCATAATTCATAGTATTAGATATTAGATATTATAATGATATCTAAGATAATAACAAAAAAATGCAAAATTTTTGTAAAATTATTAACTCAGGGGCAGAAACCCAACAACGGGTTGTCGGATTTGTCTGAAAATTTCAGGGCAGATAAATCTAAATCTGATGAACATTTGTGCCACCTGTCAGATTTGCTCTAAATGCTTCAGTTTCAGAGATATAAACCAAAAACTGCATTTTACCCCTATGTTCTATTTTTAACTAAGTCGGCCATGATGGTTGAAAGGCGGGGTCATCGGACAAATTTTTTAAACTAGATACCCTAATAATGATTATGGCCAAGTATGGTTAAATTTGTCTCTGTAGTTTCAGAGAAGAAGATTTTTGTAAAAGATTACAAACATTTACGAAAAATTGTTAAAAATTGACTATTAAGGGCAATAACTCCTAAAGGGGTCGACTGACAATTTTGGTCATGACAACTTATTTGTAGATCTTACTTTGCTGAACATTATTGCTGTTTACAGTTTATCTCTATCTATAATAATATTCAAGATAATAACCAAAAACTGCAAAATTTCCTTAAAATTACCAATTCAGGGGCAGCAACCCAACAACAGGTTGTCAGATTTGTCTGAAAATTTCAGGGCAGATAGATCTTGACCTGATAATCAGTTTTACCCCTATGTCAGATTTACTCTAAATGCTTTGGTTTCAGAGATATAAGCCAAAATCTACATTTTACCCCTATGTTCTTTTTTTAGCCATGGCGGCCATCTTGGTTGGTTGGCAGGGTCGAAGGACACATTTTTTAAATTAGATACCCCAATGATGATTGTGGCCAAGTTTGGTCAAATTTGGCCCGGTAGTTTCAGAGGAGAAGATTTTTGTAAAAGTTAACGACGACGGACGACGACAGACCCTTTGGACCAGGTGAGCTAAAAATGGAATGCAACTTAGATCAAATACTACCCAATTACTTAATATACCAAAGGCAAGAACAAACACATTTAGAAGATCTTTTTCATATTCTGGCCCAACTTTATGGAATAAACTACCAGAAGCACTAAGACACATGTCAAACATAAATACTTTTAAAACAAACTGCTTTAAGTTTTTACTTGATAATCCAGGAATTATTTAAATGATTATGTATCAATTTTGATTATGTTTTCTTATGTTTATCTTTGTTATGAAGAAATTGTGTGATGCATTGTGAGTGGTGTGAGGGCCTCAAGGGAGAATAGTGTTTGTACTAATTGAGCATACCCTCTAGAAATAAAGATTATTATTATTATTATTATAAAAGTTTACTTTAAAAAGTACTATTCTTGAATGGGCTTATTGCTGCTTAGTCTTCCCCTAAACACTAACCTTAGCAGTCATTCATCCAAGAAATTTAGGTCAAATTGACTAGATTTTTATATGGACCTGTGAAAGCTAAGAGATATTCAATGATAAAAGACTTTCTTCTATTATTTTTTGCTGTTTTCAAATGGATGTCATTGCAAATTTAACCGGATAGATGAACAAACCAAATTAACCTACGAATGAAATGCACTGAATGATAGGAACAAAATGATAATACTACTAAATATTTTGGTAAAAAAATCTAACCTTACTATAGAAGAATCAGACAAACCTTTCCTTCATATTTTCATGAAATAAAGAAATATCGAAGAAAAAGTTCAACATAAATCACTGCTTTAATTTAGAAATTGATAGTTTACCAGTCTAATGTATTGGGGGAAAAATGTCAAACACTAGATAGAAATCAGTTTTTCTACATGTATATCACATTCATAAACTTCAATATGTACTTCAGACATACTGATAAATATTAATTCAAAGAAAATGAAATAGATAAAATATCATAAATCAGTCAAGAGTCCACTGTTCATTGAAAACTTGTAAACATGACATCCAGAGTTGTGTCTTTAAAATTCAATCCAATGTTGTCAAAATAATGATGAAATCTGAAAATACAAAAGATAATGATAGTGAATTTGTGTTTTATGTCCATCATCAATAATAACATGCATATGATGACGATGTTGGATTGATGTTTAACATCCAGTGGCAATTATTACAGGCACATGACGACAGTGTTGGATTGATGTTTATTATTACAGGCACATGATGACGATGTCGGATTGATGTTTAACATCCAGTGGCAATTATTACAGGGATATGACGACAATGTTGGATTGATGTTTAACATCCAGTGGCAATTATTACAGGGATATGACGACAATGTTGGAGTGATGTTTAACATCCAGTGGCAATTATTACAGGGATATGACAACAATGTTGGATTGATGTTTAACATCCAGTGGCAATTATTACAGGGATATGACGACGATGTTGGATTGATGTTTAACATCCAGTGGCAATTATTACAGGGATATGACGAGAATGTTGGATTGATGTTTAACATCCAGTGGCAATTATTACAGGGATATGATGACTATGATGAATTGATGTTTAGCATCCAGTGGCAATGATTACAGGCATATGATGACGATGATGAATTGGTAATTAACATCCAGTGGCAAATATTACATGCATATCTTGGCGATAACATGTTAATGAGATATGAATGTAACCCTGCTTTGTACTAGAACCAACACCCTGAGCCATATTTTTAATGTGCTAGTTCACAAGGCAACAGTCTGCAGTAAAACACATTATTCGGACTCACAGGCGACTCTTTTTCTAAATGCTATGTGTAGCGAGAAGCAGCAAATACCAATTTTAAGTGTTTTCTTTAATCCTGCTGTGTATCAACCCCACAAACTCCCACACCTGAAGGTGCGAACTACAACATTCTTATATTTTGCATGTTAATTGATCCAAGAAATACTTAGTTGTAAGATTTTTTGTTTACACACCGTACACTTAACTTCATTTTATACTATAATGTATGTTAGCCATTTTACAAAGAACTACATCATTCACCATATTCATGAAATGCGCTAACACATATACATACCGGTAATCATTTTGAATATTTAAATCAGCACACCAAAAGACAACTATTTATGTAAAATAAATTTAGACATAAGTTAATTTTCTCCTTGATAGGCTTTATGCCTAGTGTGAAAACAATTAACATTTTGGGTGATCCACTTCACATGCATCCATTTCCTACTTTAATAATTTAACTAGTCTGACGCCAAGAGGAAGAAAACTTTTACAAATAACTTACCGTCTTTTAATTTTCGCCATTTCCCTGAGTTTTTCTGATTTACTGATTTCTCTGAGAGTAGGCATGTAGTCCATGACAACAGATCTCTGATGACATCTGACTGCCAAGGGGAGGTTACTCATAACATTATTACTGGCTTTCTTCAGGACTAGATTTTTACTGAAAAGAAAAGTAAGATTTTCATTTACTATAAATAAATATTATTAAACTGGTAAAAAATGTTCAGACTTATTATTTGTGATATGTAAATCATAATTAACTAAAAAAAATGAGTTCTGTTCTAAACCATCAGAAAGATATTAATTTTCAAAATGTGTAAGGAGACACGATTACTGCCAAATTATTATAGTTCTAGGAAAACGATCAAAATCTGACATTATGTTTAGATATAACCAAAGAAACAACTGTCAAATTTCTAAATTTCTTCTGTTCCAATATGTCTCATTTTTTTGGGCTCAAATTTCGGTTTTTCTAGCAGAATATTTAGAGTTCACTTAACGAGTCCTTTAAAGAGGGACATATATTTCCCTTCCCACTTGGGGAAAACCAGGATATCCTATCTATTGCACATTGGTATATTAAGATCTAAAATTGTGTTTCAATAAAGTGTGCAACAGGATTTTCAGTGACATAGATGGTTCCTTATTGACAGAGTGGTCTAATTAGTCCAACTACTGTACCACTAGCCTGTCAACACTGAGGTTGAGTTTGAACATGCATGTGGCAAGTGCACTTGACTCCAATCTTAATTGACTAGGATTATCACTTTATCTGATTAAGGTCATGGTTTTCTCCTGCTTCCTATGCCAATAAAAACTGACCGCCACAAAATAGCCAATAAAGCTGAAAGTGGCATTAAACATCAATAAATTGATGAAAAAACAACAAAATGAAATAATGGTTTCATTTCAACAAGCACATTTTAATATTAAAATCTAACAACATATCAAGTTTTTATGTAATAGAGGTTGTGATAACAAATAGGTTTCTGAGCAGATTAACGTGTCTTAGGCCAAAGGGCAATATTCTGGGATAGTATATAAAAGGTATCCTAAAATTTAATATCAAACTAACCTATTACTGGCCCTGTTGACTAGAACTCCTTGTGACTGACTCCCTGCAGAAGGTATACTAACTGATTCTATGTGCTGTCCTTTTAAAGTGTCCTGTAAATGTCTCTGATTTGTACACAATTTGTATAGTGCTCTAACTTCTATCTCTGAACACAAATTATCCTTGTCAATATACTCTAATGAACTTGTAATATCTGTGTCATGAAGGCATCGTTTACTGTGTAAAATAAAACTATTTGACGATTCAGGCACTTCTGAACCTATCGTCACTGAATCGATGAAAGACATGTTGTCATAAAATTCTGTTAATTGATCTAGTGATCTTATAATTGCTACTTTTTCTTCCTTGGTTTCTTCTGTTTTTGTTTCTTCCAGAGACTCTTCTCTTGGTTCGTCTAAGATCCCATCATTTGAAGCCTCACTATCATACAAATCAAATGTTTTTATTCTTTTTAATTGAGTTTTCTTTTCCTTAATTTTAGTTTTTATAGATGGAGGTGTCGTCTGCCGACTCTTAGGCATGGGTAACAGATCAATGTATGTATTGTAAACAATATTATACATTAATTTCCTGTATTGATCACATGCTTCTGTTACCACAGTGACAAGGTCATCTCTTTGACCTTTCACAAGCTGCTTCAGTAAATTCATAATTCCCTCTGATCCCCCTAAACTGAGCCCCAAAGAACTATTCAAGCATGACAAATGAACTGAGGACTGCAATGCTGCTTCAGGTTTCACTGTAGATTCCTTTGGCAGAGGAAATGTTTGGGCACTACTTGATGATTCATCATCGCTAATCAGAGGTCGTTTCCTTTTGTTCACGACAGGTTTAATGACGACAAAGTCATCATCATCATCAAACCTGGATTTTGAATCCCCGGATATGCTTGAAGGTTTTATAGCCTCTTGTGAGCATGTGTCCTCACTCAGAGGAAGTGGCTTCAATTTGACAGGGGAGATAATTTTCTGGACTGCCTGTAATGTGCCACCTCCTGATTCTATCCAGTATTGTAATGCCAGCAAGCATCGACGGATATCTCCTGATAAAACTTTTACAAGAGTCATGATTTCTTCAGAGTTTGTCCTTATACTCTCCGCCAAACATATCAACTGTAAATACACTGTTGTTTGTTTCTGAAAGTAGAATTTTAAATTAAACAATATTCTATACATTTTGATAACATTAACTGTACTAATATAACTGCACCAGATGCACTTTTATCCAATAAATGTCCCTTCAGTGATGCTTGTGGCCAAAATATTTGAAAATTCAGCACTTCTTCTACAATTGGTCTTTCCAAATGGATAGAACTCCCCAAAGGATATTTCTTAGTCCAAAAGCCAATTCAAGTCACTTTTACACGATTAAGAATTTTTGCGGGTATTGCGACTGGGCTAGTGTCACAATAATAAGAACTCACACTCTGATATATGATACATATCTCTGTATGCAGATTTTCCTAAAATCACAATAATTAATCTCATATTTTTGTCAATTCTTCTGAAATTGCAATAATTGCACACAATAATTTCTGAATTTACAGTATTCTTGTGGATGTATTTCAATTTTAATACTGATGAGATATACTTACCATGGATGGTGTTTTGAATAAAAACTGTTCATATCTTCCCTCAAACTTAGAAGACAATGTAACATCGTTTGTAGTGAGGACAATAGGAATCTTAGTTGAATTCATAAATGTCTGAATAGCTGACCAAAATCCCTTGTCTTCTTCAAACACAACATCAACCTGAAAAAATATATTTTGGCGATTAATATAAATATAAGAAGATGTGGTATGATTGCCAATGAGACAACTCTCCACTAGAGACCAAATGACATAGATGTTTAGTATAGTTTCAACAGGTCTTCCAAATTATTTACTATAAATAGATGTCCATTCTACACAACTCAATGAAATTACCCAAAAAAAAATGTTCACAAAATACAAATAAACAGCAGTGCCATAATTGGCCGTCCCAATTAATTGGACCATATTTCTATAACTCCAGAATAACAGAAATCAAAACATAAAAAAAAAAACAACATCAACCTGGTATAATTGGCTGTAATTATGTAGCTTCTAAGAAATACTTATTTTTTATTTTTTCAAAATTTAATGCATGTACTTATTATTTAATTTATCATAAAGCTTAATAACAAATTTCAGGAAGCTCCCCTTCCATTGGAGAAAAAAGTAAAATAACAAAAATACCGAACTCCAAGGAAAATTTTAATCGGAAAGTCCCGTATCAAATGGCAAAATCAAAAGCTCAAACGAGTTTGAGCAGGGGTATAATCATACAAAAATTTCAGGGAAATAACTGATCATTTGCACAGTTTTAACAAAATCTTGGTCATCCAATAACATTTTCACAGTTCTGTTAAAATATATACTAACATCTTCAAACAGTATGAGAGATGTGCTGGATAAATTCAGTCCTTGGTTAGTTGCAGCAGTCTGATTTGAAGTGGTAGGAATTAAGCCATCAAACTTTACTCCTTTCTCATCTTTTCCTTTCTTCTTTTTAGGTGTTTTCTCTGCATCACTTTCTTCCAAGTCCCTTTTTCTTTTTCTTCTGTTCTTACTATCATTTGACTTTTTGGACTTTTCAATTTCTACTTGTATAGAATTTGTTGTTTTGTTGAAGAAATTAGCAAAGGAAGTTGGCACATTCTTCTCTGGTTTCTTTCTAGGAGAAGGTTTATTACCTGTAATTAAATCATTTCAATTACTTGAAATTTTGTTTTGAAAAAAATCCTTCCATTTTCTAAATTTTTAAAACATTAAAAATTCTAATTGGCATATACCCTAATTGACAAAAAAAAATCAAGAAAATTGTATATTCTGGTTTAAAATTATTTCCTAAGTTGGTATTTTTTCATAGAAAAATAGTTGGAATCTAATTAAAAGCGTTTCTTTTTCAAAGGGACATAACACATATATAGTAGCTACATCACAGTATAACTCCCCTCCATCTGTATCCAATAGTCTATTGCAACTTAGTGAAACACAGTCTCAACAAGCGTATTAAATGCAATAAACTGGAAATATATCTTAAATGAATAGAAAGATATATTAAACTGACAACTATATGCATAATCTGAATTATTCAAGAACACTTAATATGATTATTGTTTCCATTTCAGGAACTGCAAATTCAATGCTTCACTTGGGGGTACCTTTTTCTTTGTTTTTAATTTTTAATTTAGGCATTGTTTCAATTTCAAACACTTGCTATAATGAAACATGGATATCTGATTCTGCATACAAAACTATATGAAATTTATATCGTGTTGAACACATGAATTAGTACCAATAATACTTCACTTTTTTTTTTTTATCTTTCGGGGCCGGAATGGATAGAGCCATAAGTAGGGTTATTTAGCATGAGGCATCAAAAGAGGACTTCCCTTTCTATTTTAGGCAAGCTGTAATACTGTTTATCTTACCTCCTATAGATTTCTGGGGATATGATTGGTTAAAGGACTACAGGTGGTGACTACATATATTTGATATAGGGTGTCCTAAAAAATATGGGGTTAGTTTCCATATGGGGTTAGTAAGGAGTTACTGCCCTTTCAAAACAAAAAAGAAATCTGAAAGATTTCAACAGACGAAGAAATTGATAATGAACGATTGAAATAAATTCATAAAACAAATTTAAAGCTAACAAGTTGTTATTGTTGGCATTTGTTTTGTGTATAAACAAATGGAAGAAGATTCTTAATACTAAGTATTGAAGACTTAATCACTTTGATAGGCCGCTAGTCTAAATACCACATGTGAAGATAGTCTGTAAGATAAATTCGTTACATGGTGTGCTAGTGACCTAATACGATATATATGGGTCAGTACATTCCATATGGGGATTCGAGCTTCGTTCTCACCCCATATGGTATGTACTGACCCCATATATATCGTATTAGGTCACTAACACACCATGTAACTAATAATACATGTATATACATAATCTTTTTACCTTGTGTGAATATAGAAGCTGGACCTGCATCGCCATGTTTGTTATGAGACACCCTATGTGATTGTGTAGCTTCCTGTAACTGTGTTAATATTCTTTTCCCATTCCTTATTGAAGATGCATTCACTTCAAAAACCTGCAACATTAAATAGCTTTAATTCTTTTTTATTATACAAAGGACAATGGAAAAAAAACTCAATGTTATTCAAAAGCTGAAGATGAAGAGTTGGTTCCTTTCAAGTTCTGAAGTAATAAAAGAAAAATATGTCAGAGGACAGGAATGCACCTGCTCAAGCTTTGCAATTTTCCAAGTTTTAAAGGGGAATAACTCTAGAAAAGTAGATGACTCACTGCCCAAATTTGAACTCTGTCCGCGTGTTGTGGTTCTTAGCATTATGTATGAGTTTCATAAAATTTGGATGCGACAAACTTAAGTTAGAGTGGGGAAAGAAAATGAGACAGACGGACGGCCAGAAGGTCAAAGGTAACACTTAATGCCTCCTTTGCCTACGGCGGGGGCATAAAAAATACAAATGAGTCATACTGATCATAGAGAAATATATTAGTACTTTACATCTTATCTTAAAAGTGTATGCTTATATCTTAAAGTAGAAGTAACTAGTTTAATTGCAAATCTAATGATCTGAATAAATTTAACTGACTTTTAATCAATATTTCCAGGCTTTATTTTATGCTTATTTCTTCTTTTGTTTACTTACTTTAAATCCAATCTCCTGTGCCAGGGCATACACTGTGGTAGATTTGCCTATACCTGTAGGACCCATTAACATGACAGTATTGCACAGTTTATCTTCTTCTTCTTCACTGCCCTCACTGTCAACATTAAAGTCACTGTCATCGTCTGCCCACCAATCATCCTCTGTCAATCAAATTGGTACTAGTTATCAAAAAAACTCAGGGCTGTTCCAGAAAATACTATGTGACTCCCCCCCCCCCCCCAGGGACCGCACTTTTTTTTAACCCCCACCACCCACAGAAATAAAAATAAATTAGAACAACACTCCCTTTGCGTTTTGGTATTTTCTGGAACAGCCTTCAAGGAGAACCATTTGTAATAATATTGAAGGTTTGTTTTGAAAGTGACAATAGTTTACTTTCCTTTGGCAGATTGAACAGATGATACCTTATCTTATCCAAAACAGTAGCATATTGGTTTTAGTGGTTAAAAAGACATGTTGGAAAATAACCATAGTTAGTTTATGTCCTGCTATTACAAACTATTTTGGAAATTTCCCTATTTAGATTTTTTTTGCAATTAAGTTCTGTTGATGTTATAGTAAAATAACTTTATATCATTCCATTTCATATTATTTGCAATAAAGTTCTGCTGATGTAATATTTAAATAATTTTTGAACTGTTTATCATTTCAATTTTGTTTATAAAGATCTTTTAATTACTATCTAACCCTAAACATTTCAGATAATTTGTCCACAAGATCCATATTTTTACATAAGGAAGCACAACTATGTAATGCTGCTTTTGTTGGATATCTGTGTAATATCTAAACCAAGATCCCATGAAAAATACATTTTTCTGGAATACACAACAACCAGTTCCCATGAATATCTAAAAGTCTACAAACCTTTCTCTTTTGTCCTATTTTTCGATTCTTTCATCGCTAACTTTTTCATCTTCTTTGCTTCTTTATCCACTTTATGTTTCCATTCTATCAGCCAAGTTTTCAGTTTCTTGACATTATTAGAATTACCCACTATTTCCGATGAGTGTGTTGGTTGATACTTATCTGTCCATGGCACTACTATTGCTGAAATATTAATACAATAATATTAGGTTTTTATCTTTCGTGAAATTTCAGTCTCTGTGGATATGTGGATATAGCAATTATAGGTCATGGTGAGATCTTCAACATTGAGAAAAACCCATATTGTGTAGTCACTATAACAGGCCCAGATATGAAAAATGAAAAACAATTCAAATGTAAAAATTAACAGCCTAATTTATAACGATACAATTTACGAGAAAAAAAAAATAACATACATGAGCCAAGGACAACCATGCATGGAAGATAGAAAATGTGAAAAGATCTACAACTTTTTTTCTCTTTCTGAGTTTGAAAATAATTACATGTATATTCCATATTAGAGATACTGCATATAAGATCATTCTTAGCATTTGAAGTGACTTAAACTTTTAATATGGTATCAGTGTTTCAATCTGCAAAGTTTTGAATGCACTTCACGAAAAGCTTTGACAATTACAAGAAAATTAATTCATACCTATTTCCTGTTTATTGTCTCCAGAACTGGTTTCCTCAATAACTGGTTCTGGACTCCCTAAATCTATTACTTCCATGACTTCGTCTTTCTTTTTGAGACGGAGACTTCTCCTCTTAGTTTTCTTTTTAACTTCCTTCCCTGTATCAGCTGATTCATCTTTCTTTGATTTGCTATCTTTTTGTTCCTCAATATCTATAAAATAAAATATATAATTAATTAAACCAGACAAGATTTGTTCTAATAGCTACTGCCATTTGCTATCTTTTTGCTCCTCAATATCTATAAAATAAAATATATAATTAATTAAACCAGACAACAGATTTGTTCTAATAGCTACTGCCTGCAATTTCCTGTCATTTATTTTGTTTTAAAAAAAATAAGGAAAGCTAAGGTCTATTTAAGGATTTAAAATACAAGCATTCCAAAGAGCAGTATTCATTTTATTCTTTGAAGCATCACTTTTAAATTTTTTTTTTTTAAATTTTCATATGATATTACAGAAGTAATAGAAGAATATGTCCATGGGACACAGATGCCCTGCTTGTAAATATGCAACATTCAATGTTCTAATTCAAACCTACTGAAACTTAGCGACATTTATTTCTGTATGTTGAGTGTGCAAAACAGCAAATTTAGCAATTTTTCATCTATAAAGGGGCATAACACAAGAACAGTATAAGTAACACCACCCAAAATTGAATTTGATCTGTGTTTGGTGGTAATCAGTATTGTTTACAAGTTTTAGAACATTTGGTTGTGGTTAAGTTCAGTAAATTTAGAGTGTAGAAACTGCAAATTTGCCAATTTTTCCATTTAAAAAGGACATAACTCGACGACAAAGGTGACGCCACCCATATTTAAACTTGATCTGTGTTTTGTGGAAATAAGCATTGTGTATAACTTTCATAACATTTGTTAGAGAGAAATCAAAGTCAGAGAACGGAAACTAATTTTGGGACATATTGACGGACGAACGTACAGAAGAACAAGGGTAAAACTTAATGCCCCCTTCATAAAAATACTATCTAACAGCACTTATCTTTCATCTTGAAATAACTTCATGAAAAGAAGAGTGCTCTTAAAATTTTCTTTTATACTTGATAAATGCTTTACAATGGACTCTAATTCCTAGTACCAGGATCTGGGTTAGTTGAGCTAAACTAAGCATTCTGATCACACTAACCATATGTCATTTCAGCATCCTGATCTTCTTTCTTTTCCTTCAGTAATTTGTACATTTTATCAACATTATAACTAGGACTGACTCGTTGAATTTCTTTTAATAATGGTTCTTCAAGACTGCCTTCCACTTTTGAATGTTGTTTAAAAAGCTGAAAAAATAATGTTATTTCTCAATTATGTGATTGAATTATTCAATATTTATCAGATATTTGAATCTCCTTTCATTAAAAATAAACAATTCCTGGTTCTTATATGAAAGAGTATTCATAACAAACAATTTACACTTTTGCTTTGGATCAATGATTAAACATTTATGACAACTAAATACAAATTCCTTCCACATTCAAATCAAGTTAAGAGTATCTCCATGACAGGTATGCTATAACACATCTTTAAAATTTTAAAAAACATTTCTCATACAATTTGTTCCACTAACACTTGAAACTTAATTAGTTTTATAATGGTCTGCCTACAACTTTTTACCTTCAAATGGCGAAAGAAATTATTGTTTTTTATCAACATTCACAAACAAAAGCAATTTAAATGTCCATAATACACAGATGCCCCACTGGCACTATCATTTTCTATGTTCAGTGGACCGTGAAATTGGGGTCATAACTCTTAATTTGGCGTTTAAATTAATAGAAAGATCATATCATAGGGAACATGTGTACTAAGTTTCAAGTTGATTGGACTTCAACTTCATCAAAAACTACCTTGACCAAAAACTTTAACCTGAAGCGGGACAAGACGAACAGACCGAAAAATATAATGCCTAGGTGGGGCATAAAAAATCCTGCCCTGAACCTATCAGGTCACTTCTATCACATGTTAATGGTTTAAAGACCTTAATTTGTAGTTTTCAAATTTTTGTACTCAGGCTTGGGGAAAAATATTTCAACTGTTAATGATATAAGTTGCAATACCTTTATTTTAGATAAATCACACATATTCTTGTCTTTCTCCAGTAAGCCATGATTCCAATAAGTTTGTATAACTCCTGTATTATCAGTTTCTTCACATTTCTTAATCTTAAGCTGAACACTTGCTAAATTCCATATATCAATTCCAGATTTTCCAACAATGTCTTCCGTCTGCTGCACATGCTTAATGGCAGGAAAGGGAGGTAAATCAGAGAGAATGACAGTTGCGCTTGCAGCTATTGTTTGTTTCTTTAAAGCTTCAGGTACACCACTCATCAGAAATTCTCGTCTCTGTCTTTCTTGCTCTGGATCCAGAACAGGTTTCTTTGGTTCCTCAACTTTTTCACCAGCTTTCTTCTTCATAAATATTGGAGCAAGTTTTCCTGCAAAAACAGAAATTTACCTTATTTATTTCTAAAACTGGTTGATATTTATAGTGGGAGGCACTCAAATTAATGAATTGTTGGTGGTCGCATTTTGTTAAGAGTTTTATAAGAATTAAAAGTAAAATGAAAGTTTTATATAATGGGTGGTTGGGGTTTAAACTTCATTTTATGGTCCAAAAGTTTAAATATTTTAAAAACTTTTGTAAAAAAAAATTCAATGTATATGTGAACATTCTAAAAAGTTTGAAGGCTCTATGTCAAAAACTACTTAAACCAAAAATTTGAAAGACATGAGGATCCTGTTGTATGCCCGTCTGACAAATAAGCGTTAAAAAAATACCTCGGAGATATTCATAAACTCACGATCAGAAGTCTATTAAAATAATTTATCAGCTTAACCATAGATCTTTTCAAAATAAAGTCTGCTTTGCCCTTACGAGATTTTATATGGATCTGTGATCCTTTTGACATTTGACAGTTAAAATACCTGAAGGCTTCTTAGGTGTGCCTTTACTTGTAGTTTTGTTCTGTAGTGGGGTTTTAGGTGTTGATGGTTTTCTGCCTTTCCTAGGAGTACTCAGGTCTTTCTGTTTCTTCTTCTTTCCTTTGTTATCTTCATCATCATCTATAATCATGATTTCATCATCATCATTGTCATCTTGTGACTCCTCCCTAGATACATGAAATTTATCTGCAAAATAAAAATCAATGTATTGATTCTATGTTGCTGTAACATAAAAAAAAACAATAGAAAATTGAAGCTTGCAATCCCTGAAGCAATTTTGGGTGGTCTATTATGGTCTTTGAGCACCAAACATTTAATATTTTTGGCTTACCAAACTTTTGATCTAAATCCTACTTGATGAAGGTCATTCATGAAACTTGTGTTGAGCATACGGAAATTGTTACAAATTTTATTACCAGGATATGGTGCAAATGGCAATTTATTAAGATATCAGGAAGGGATTGTACTTTACCTGATAGTCTTGAACTTCTTCTCCTGCTAGAATTTTCATTTTTATTCTCAACTGGCTTTCTTTTTTCTGCAGCACTTTCTTTTAACTTTGACCCCTTCTTTTTGTTCTTTTCAATGGCATGTTTAATCTGTAGCTTCAGCTCTGGTGACTTTCCAGCTTTTGTTTTCTTTGCTTTCTCTAATAGTTTTTGTGCTCTGGTTTGTTTAATATTTGACTGGAAGAATAATCACATAAACATACATGTTAATAAAACGAAATTCAATGATAATTACTTATAATATCTTTGTTAGAACCATTTAGGAACTGTTGATTTGAGTTTTTTAACTCAATTTTTAAAATAAGCCTTTAACATTGCAACCATGAATAATATTTGATTGTTTCTATTAAGATATAAGAACTGATAAAAACATTATGTACTGTTAGCTATTATACCCGGCTACATGTTGTTGATTATATGTCATGTAAATTTCTTATACATGTATATGGGCACTCATACCACATCTTCTTATTTCTATATACGACATTATAAAGATCAAAGATTTTGGCAACAGGAAGTAGTACTTCTCATGCAAAAAACTGTCTCAATGTATGGTATAACAAGATAAAGCTTAGTGTCATCCATATAAAAGAATAAATCATTAAAAGTTATTAGAATATGACAGAAGTAGTATATCTCATATTCTATGGGTAAATGAAACATGGATGCTTAAATAATTATAGTCTACACCAAATATCCATTGTTTATGGAAATGAATCAGAAAACGTATGAGTTGTCAACATTCACCAGAAAAGTATCTCCTGACAACATCTTTTTACAACCTCTGTCACATGCAACTAAAACAATGCTCTTCAGTCTCAAGCTGTGTATTGAATAATTTCTGCAGGGATACCGTTCTGAGGGTTCGATGGAATATGTATTTGTACCACAAATTTGATTTTTTTTTAGAAAAATAATTGCGCATGTATATTAACTTTTATATATATGTTTTGGTATAGCCATCTTTCCTTGGAAGATAAACAGGAAGGGCTTTAAATATTAATCAAAGGTGTGCAGCTCGTAAATGGACATTGACAAAGTCTGGGAAATCTCGTTTTATTAATACAAGACATTATCAGTTTGATTTGCCCACATCCAGAAAAAAATTGTAAAGAAGTGCTGTTGAAAGGTATATGGCTTCTGTAGGACTGTCATTTGACACTTACCTTTGGTTTTAATGAAAAAGAAGCTTCATCTGTACTACTGCCACTTTTGTTGCATCTGAAATCAATAACAGGTGAGGTTTAAAGATAGTAACACTAATAAAAAAACATGCAGTTTATACACAAAAAGAAAATTTTGATATAAATACTTAATATATGTAGTTTGAACTTACTGCCACATTCAGGAAGCAATTAGATGAAATAAAAAATATAAATGCCGTCTTGAATGTCTTGAAGCAAATTTGAAATTTTGTTGATTTTCATATTTCACACATTTGCTGTTTATAAAAATGACTCAATTGATCTATACATCTCTGCACCTATCAAATATTTCCTCTTTTAACAAACTAGTTCCTCTTTTAACAAACTAGTAAGTTGTAAATAAAATATATTCAATCAAGAAGACTCCAATGGCAACTTGTCACAAAGGGTTTCGGATTAATACTGCTAATGCACCTCAAACTGAGGAATTCAACTATTAATAGATAGAAAAAAAATCTGTATGCATTGCTATTGTACATGATGCTTTTTTAGCAATTGACTGAGCTTAACCATTTGTGCTTTTTTGAAGAACAGAAGACAGTACAATTTAGATGTAAAAACTTATTTTATCTAAATGTGTGTTATTTTATTACAATTTTGAACAGATTAATTTGTCAATTCAATGTATATTGAAAGGGAAACATCACCTTGTAAGCCTCATCCTGATTGGTGTTCTATTTTTAGTATCAATACTGATCATATCAACTTTGTATTTCTTCTTCTTCCTCAACGATCGTCTCTTCTGTGTTGCTTTATCATCATAAACTTCAATTGTATCTTCACTTTTTTCTACACCGTCTTCCAAAACCGACACATTACTTAATTCATGTTTTGAACCATCTGATGCATTTTTCTTAATTTTGTTTGTACTGCCTGGTGGTCTTCCTCGACCTTTTGTACTACCTGGTGTTTTTTCTCCCCCTATTGTACTACTTGGTGGCCTCCCTTGACCTCTCTTTACTGGTGTACTTTTGGACAAAGGTGATTCACATGTCATCTCCTCAGGTACTGATTTACGAATTCTCGTTTTATGTGAAGGTTTACTTGACATTTGAAATCCACCTTTAACAAAGCTAAGTGTTGCTTGAGAAGTTTTATGAGATCCTGATTGGATATTATCGCTTTGAAGAAATGCTTTTTTCCTATCCAGTGCCTCTTTTGTTTCTGTTGCATCTACAGTGATGCTATCATCCGAAATTTCTACTGTTTCTGTCAATTTCTGATTCAAAGACTTTCTGGCAGATTTCACTGGTTTGTCTTTCTGCTTTATACTCCTTTTCTTTGCTGGACTTTCAACTTTAACAACTTCAGAACTGAGTATTTCAATTTCATTCAGTGTTGAATCACTTTCTGCAGAAGCACATACTTTCGTCTTTTCAGATTTATTTCCCTTGGTAATTTTAGGTGGTGTAGGTTCTGAATGTATGTCAGCTTTAGTAGTTAATGTTTTGGGACTATTCTGCGTACTGATAGATTGTTTGGGAGCTGGTCCTGACAGTTTGGTAAAAAAAGATGTTATGCTGGGATAATTTTCATCACAGGATGAATCATGTTTACTATCCTCAGCAGCAACCGCCTCCTCTGATTTATCATTGTCACCATCAGCTTCCACTTCTGATTCTCCAACACCATTTCCAGTCAATGTCTCTGATTGTTTACAGTCATTAACGATCATTGTTTCAGTTTCTGTTTTATCAGTTATTATTTCATTTCCCTTTTCTTCAGATTTATTCTCCAATGACTTTAGAAAGTCTAGGTAACTTATTCCTGAATTTTCATCTTCATTTTGTTCAGACTTTCTAGCATTATCCTTATTTGTCTTTGTACTTTCATCAGTAATTTTCTCCTGCTTATCTTTTGATAATTTTTCATCCTTGTCTTTAGCCTTTTTCCTCTTCTGAGTCTCTTTGTGTACTTCCTTTTTCTGTATTTTTTCAATAATATCTTTCTCAACATTTTTTTTCTTTGTTTTTGAAATGTCTTTTGTTTTACTTTCAGCATTTTCTTTTAAAGCCTCATTATTTGCTTTTAGAGACTTTTTTGTGCCCTTCTTTTTTTCTGTCTTTTTAATTTTAGTGAGAGAATCCTGACCTTCAAACTCAGAAATTGATGAATTGAGTGAAGATATATTGATTTCCACCTTCTGATTTTGTTCTTTACTATTAATGCCATTCTGAAACCCATTCTGTAAGTATAAAATAAACTGAAAAGAAATTTTATTTCAACTAAATTTATAGATAACAAGAGGCTCTCAAGAGCCTGAATCGCTCACCTGTATTTCAGAGGAGAAGATTTTTAAATGTTAGCAAACTTGATGAACAAATTGTGAAAAATTGTCTTTAAAGGGCAATAACTCCTTAAAGGGTCAATTGACAATTTTGGTCATAATAACTTTTTTGTAGATCTTACTTTGCTGAACATTATTGCTGCTTACAGTTTATATATATCTATTATTATATTCAAAAGAATAACAAAAAACTGCAAAATTTTGTTAAAACTACCAATTCGGTGGCAGCAACCCAACAATGGGTTGTTTGATTCGTCTGATAATTTCAGGGCCGATAGATCTTGACCAATTAAACAATTTTACCCGATGTCACATTTGCTCTAAAAGATTTAGTTTTTGAGATATAAGCCAAAAACTGCATTTGACCCTTATGTTCTATTTTTAGCCATGGCAGCCATGTTTGTTGATGGATACAAACTTCGGATACAATTTATAAACAAGATACCCTAAGGAACATTTATTTAAGTTTGAAGGTAATTGGCCCAGTAGTTTCAGAGGAGAAGATTTTTAAATGTTAGCAAACTTGCATACCTGCCAACTTTTGAAAGTCCCCATGGGGGTTTTAGTGCGTGACAACAATTCTTTGCGACATATTTTGCGAGTGCTGTTTTGTGGTCTAGAAAAATTAAGTGTCATATTTGTATGATGAGCTTACAAGCCTTTTTCTTAAGTTTATTAGCATGATTCTAGTTATTATTAATATATCAGTAGAAAAGATGAATCTGTAGCTAGAAGACCAGGATTTATTTTCTTGTGTTAGAATATTAAATGATTGTTGACGTTTAAAATTTAAAATTATGCACAAAGAAGGACTTTTATCAGGTTGGGAACAACACCCCAAATGAGGGGTAACCCCTCAATGTAAGGACATTAAAAACCAATTTTAAGTACAAATGAGCATATATCTATATTATTTGAAGAAACTTTTCCTAAAGAATTATACATCTATCTGGTATTATATGGTCAAAACATGTCCAAGAATTTTGTAATGTTCCTGGATTTTTATCTTCTTTATCATGTTTATTATTAAAAATAATTGGACCCCTCATTTAGAAAAGACTTTAAAGTTGTTCCAAATATAATGAATTTTCCCACTTTTAAGTTAAAAAAATCTAAATTTTTCTTTTTTCTTTTTTACAACATTAAATGACTCCTTGTCTTAATGTCTTGGGGACAGTCCCTCATTTAAGGGATATATCCCTCATTTGGGATTTTGTTCCGAACCTGTTTGTTTGGTCCTTGTGAAAAATGAAGTACAAAATGTATAGTACATTGTACTTCAATTGATTTGCCCCATTTGGTAATTTAATTGAATACAAAAATGACATATGATATGTTACAGCAAGTGTAATGACAATAAATTAGTGAATAAACTACTATTTATTATCTTTATGGTAGTACTGCATCATTGAATTTTGTCAATCAGCCATGCTTTTATTCTTAAGCTGTTTAAGAACCTCCTTGCAGATGAAAATTAACCTTCCATGTTCACGATTTTACAATTCTGACTTACACACAGAGGAATACCCTACAACACAAGTTCAAAATCTAGCATGTTAGAATAATCTTAAGAGAAAACGTTTTTGATTGGCTTATTAATTTGATCATGAGAAACACAGAATTTGATTGGCTGATCGTGATTGTCTTCCCTTGGGAACAGTTCAATATCGGGAACCATCATATTTTTCGTGTAGATTTTCACAAAATCGTGTTTTAGAGGTTTTTTCACGATCCCGATCGTGCAATCGTGACAAAGGGTTAAAATCGTGTAGTACACGCCTAAATCGTGAAAGTTGGCAGGTATGAACTTGAACAAATTGTGTAAAATTGTCTTTAAAAGGCAATTACTCCTTAAGGGGTCAATTGACAATTATGGTCATCTTAACTTTTTTGTAGATCTTACTTTGCTGAACATTATTGCTGCTTACAGTTTATATATATCTATAATAATATTCAAAATAATAACAAAAACTGCCAAATTTTGTTAAAACTACCAATTCGGTGGCAGCAACCCAACAATGGGTTGTTTGATTCATCTGAAAATTTCAGAGCTGATAGATCTTGACCAACTGAACAATTTTACCCCAGTCAGATTTGCTCTAAAAGCTTTAGTTTTTGAGATATAAGCCAAAAACTGCATTTGACCCCTATGTTCTATTTTTAGCCATGGCGGCCATGTTTGTCGATGGATCAAAACTTTGGATACAATTTATAAACTAGATACCCTAAGGAACATTTAGTTAACGTTTGAAGGTATTTGGCCAAGTAGTTTAGAGGAGAAGATTTTTTAAATAGTTTACGACGACGACGACGGACGCCAAGTGATGGCATAAGCTCACATGGGGCCCTTTGGGCCCCGATGAGCTAAAAATAACTGCATAAATCTTCATACTTTTTGAAACAGGGCTCACACTCCTGGTAAACATGGGTTCAGAAATCCCTTTCCTGACTGCAAAATTGGAATTATGATGCCTGACAGTTGCCTTCGTTGTTTTCTGTATTGATCAGAAAGTGAGCATTTAAAATAACACCATTCATAGCTTATTTCCTATTTATTTTTTAGGATTTTTTTGTTAATATAAACAAACGGAGATGTAGGGATACATCAATACCATAGCAACCTAATGATAAAAACAACCAAGACATCTAGAGGGAAACATACAGCATGGAATGTTTCTCCAGCAACAGAAAAAAAATGGTTTTATTCTGTTATTACGCTTTTATTTAACCCAAACTGAAACCTTTCAACTACTGATTACAAAAGAATGTACTATTGAAATAGAGATTTGTCTTGGCCTGTATGTATTTGGAATAGTAAAATGCAAATGGTGAAAATCAAAAGGACAAAACTTTAATATGTAAAATATGTACAACATTTAGTCAATGAACCTTGACTGACGGTGCAGTGACAAGCCTGCTAAGTCTCGCTTTTGCAACATTGTTGAGGCAAGACAAAAACCAACAAATGTGGCACAATGTCATGCTCTCACTATTACATTAGTAGAGTGAGTCCTGTGATCATAAATGTGTTTAGTTGTTTCTTCTTGACAAGGCACCTAAAATAATAGGATTTTTTTACTAATTAATAAATAATAAAAGAATGTTCCAATGTCCCCCGTGTTGCACATATCTTTTCTATCCAAGGTACAAGGGCCATTACTAAAAAAAGACCCACTTTTTTTTGTTCTTTAAATCTTTTCTATAAATATCTTAGAGAAATGAAGGCTTCAGAGCAAAAACAATGCAATTTTCGTTACAACTAATATTTCCAAGGGGCATAACTCGTTAAAAATATTTCATCAGCACTTATTTTCAAAAGTGTCAAAGACATTGCTGATATAAACCTATGATATAAGTTTCATAAAATTCTTGCAAGAATTGTACACAGGAGATTCTGTCTGAGACATTGATAATATAAACCTATAATATAATTTCATAAAAATCTGGGAATTGTACACGAAATCGCTCACAAGGCAATTTTCCATATAATTAATATTTTTAAGGGGCATAACTCTTTTAGAAATAATTGATCAGAAGTGATTTTCGAATTCATCAAAGACATTGCTGATATAAATATATGATAAGTTTCATAAAAATCTAGCAAGGATTGTACACATGATAGCAAAAACAATGCAATTTTCCATATAATTAATGTTTCTAAGGGGCATAACTCTTTTATAAATAATTGATCAGCACTGATTTTCAAACTCGTCCAAGACATTGCTGATATAAACCTATGATATAAGTTTCATAAAATTCTGGCAAGAATTGTACACGTGAGAGCGCTAACGATGCAATTTTCATTATAATTAATGTTTCCAAGGGGCATAAATCTTTTAAAAATAATTGATCGACACCAATTTTCTAACTTGTCCAAGACATTGCCAATATAAACCTATGATATAAGTTTCATAAAAATCTTGCAAGAATTGTACAAATGAGAGAGCTAACGATGCAATTTTCTATATAATTAATGTTTCCAATGGGCTTAACTCTTTCAAAAATAATTGATCAACACTGATTTTCGAACTTGTCCAAGACATTGCTGATATAATCCTATGATATATAAGTTTCATAAAAATCGGGCAATAATTGTACAAGTGAGAGCGCTAACAAGACCGGACGGACAGTATTTCTATGTCCCCCGCAACGTGTTGCGCTGGGGACAATAACTGTATGTACCAAATAATTTACAAAGAAGTCAATAATTTAAATACCACTTTTCCATTTGCTTTTTCTGTTTTAGTTTTACTGGACACGGTGTCTGTACTTTCTTTTTGTTTAGGAGCTTGTTTGCCAAAGTAACTCAATAAATTTTTAGGCTTTTCATCTGGTTTGGTAGGTGATTTGAAGAATTCTAGTATTGACCTTTGTGGAGATGCAATTTCTTCCAACTTGGATTCCTTCTGCAATTAGAACATTAACAAATCAGAGAAAAAATAAACCAATACTTAGGAGTCATTATTATTCTTGTGATACATGAATTAATTTTAACAGATTTCATGGGAAAAGGTGATCCAAGATTATAAATTTCCTATAGGCTTGTATACAGAATTTGTAAAACTACGAAATCAAGTATCCACGAAAATGCAAGTTTTTCTCAATCCTTGAAAACAGTAACAATGAAATAATTATCCACAGCATGAACATATTAAAGATGGATCAACTTCATTTTTCAGGAATGTTGGCACTATATACTTTGTGATTAACCGATGTGCTAGTATGCCAATATCAGATGACTGATTCAGAGGAATATATAACAGGTTCAAAATACAATTTAATATAAATATTTTTATCTGTAATGCACAAAAGAAAAGTAGAGAACAAATGATTCTGGAACACCTGATTTTATCTGGTTGCTTTATCTTTGGTTTTCGGTGTTATATTTTGTTTACTGCTATTTGTTTTTTCTCTTTCTTCAACATACAATTTTTAATTCAATCTTAGTATAGTATTACTGTAATCAAGCTTGTATAGTTCGCACTGGTACATAGTCTGCACCCCCTTCTCCCCACGAAATTTCAGGTAAAAAAAACTTTTTGTAACTGTTAGAAAAGGTCTAATGAAACTCCAGTAATTTCAAATCGTGCATGGTTGTTTGCGGTATTTTCTTGGAAAAACCTGTTTTCCATCATCAAACAGAAGCTAAAACTGCTTGTAAATGATTCTAGAACACTTCAGGATTGTTAAAATAAGTCTAAATCACACAAAAAACAATTTAGAAACTTGTGTATGTTTAAACCGGAAGTTTGAATAGCATGTGTAAAAGAAGAAAAAAAAAGGTGAGTGTCGAAATCCGTACATCATAGGACTTTGAAAGTAAAACAGTTCCATCTTCATGTAAAACAGTGTTTAATATATCTATTACATTAATGTTTGAAGGGTTTTAAGCTAATATAAAACATATTTGTCAGTATGAAACACGGAAAGGGAACGGATAATAACCAATTACGTTTTGTAATTTACACATCATAAGCTGGTTTACGGTTGTCTTTTTTACTTTTTTTATATCGTTTCATTCAAGCAGATACCAGTTTATTTTAATCAATGCATTGAAAAGAAACAAGAAATTTGTAATGAAGTGTTTAACTTTAAATTTATCAGTTTTAATTTGATATTGAATAAAAATAACATATTAATATGGATTAGGTAAAATTATTAGTTTGAAAAATGATAAGAGCGCCCTCTACAATATCAATAACAAACATGGCGGAATGTAAACAAACCACCTCACGATTTTTTTTTTCTCTTATTTCTTGCTTATTGTACTCTTATAGTCCGCACCCCTTCTGGCAGGTTCAATTTTGGAGAATAAAACCGCGGACTATACAAGCCTTTTAACGGTATATTTTAAAGAAACTCTGGCACACGAGATAAAATGTAGTGGTGAAATAAAATCACTTTGGAGACTGATAATATCTCACAAGGCCATATATACTTAAGCTTGGCCCAAAAATAAAAAGTAGAATTGTTTGATATTTCCAACCCACCCAAAAAATTTTATGACACAAATCCTTTCAATTTTTTTTTCAATTTTTTTTCAAGCTCTTACGTCAATTTCCTGTCTAAAACAAGTAACTTAGGCTGCTGGCCAAAAAACGAAAAAAAAAAAATCCCTACCGACCTACCAACCAAACCCTACAAAGCATGGGTTTGCAACATCAAACAAAGAATTTGTTAAGGGTGGCCTTGTTTCCTGCATCCTGGCAGATCACATAAGGCAGCTACAAGGTCATGAAGGTAAAGTTATTCTATTCTTTTCTATATTTACTTAGAAAACATGTACATAAAAAAATGGTCTGGACTTAAAATGGTGCTTATACAAAAATGTCTTTATTGGTGCTTAATCAAAACTGTCCATAAAAAATTTTTTCCTCTTAAATCTTACATCTTCCTCTGTTCCTTTTTCTTCTTCCATTTCCATAACAATACCTGGCATGTTTTCATCTAATGGTTTAACATCTACAAAAAAAAAATTATAATGAAATGCACATTTTAAAAAAAATTTGACCTCAAGATGCCTTTTAGTTATCCACATCACTGGGTTGTAGTCTCATTGATAAATATCTTCACATCTCTTTTTAATCACCATAAAGTAACATTAATCCCCCTTTTGTGACTTTTTACACAATTTTTTTGTAAAATCTGATGGTTTCCCTGTATTCTTATTTTTAAAAGTCTATAGAATAAACGGGAGAAATATAATTTCAGGTTCTTAAGACCATGTATCTTGAATGACATCTGTGCATAATATCAATCAATCCATTATCATGATAATCAGAACACTAGAATTATGTTTTTCCAGTAAAAAGCTATAAAGATCAACAGAAAAGGATATTCAGTGGAAGGAAAATAATCTAGGAATAGACATATTTACTCTTTTAGGTATTTAGTTGAATTTGCTTCAATGACTCTAGATCTGTCACTGAAAAACCTTCTGGCTTCATGCAAGGATCACTTTTCAGTTATAATGTCAAATGATTAAAATTGTGACTCAAAATTTTGTATGGAATTGTTCACTTTAAGTAAAGGCAGACAAATTTGCATAAAGTGTCACTACGTCTATAATTGTAACATTACAGCAAATATATGGCAAGTTTCAATTATTAACTGCCGGTTTTCTACCCTTGTGGGCACTGGATAATAGGGTACACACAATTATATTTTTAGAAATGTACATAGATGAAAATGTGCTATATATATATATCTGACCTGTAGACAAGTCCATTTGATATTAAACAGGTTGGGAAGGATCCTCATAAATGGATACTATCACAATTAATGGGTATTATACCCAAAACAGGGCATCAATTTACAGTGATAAAAAATTGAATTGTGTATTTCATCATAATTGATATCATGGCACAAACATTCACATAAATTGCAATATTTTCCCCTTTTGGACCATTGTTCAAACAAGAACTGATTAATGGCCTCCAAAAATCCTTTTTTAAAGACTATTAACTTTTACCCAGATGATATTTCGGTCATGGTGTTTTGGGGTAAAATGTTGTCATTTATGTGAATGTTTGCACCATGACATCAAATATCTTGAAATCCGAAGTTTAAATTTTTATCCATGAAAATTGGTACTTGTTTTGGGGTATAATATCTAGACTATCTAGAAATTGACAATGATGGTCGGTTGAAAACAAAACTTTACGACAAAAGAGATGATTTCAGCTTCCCAATTGTGAAGTTGCCATTTCTATGTAGCATCATTTCAACAGCACCTGCAAATGGAGTATATACATGTACCTCCCTATTAATACGATATTCCAAGGCTTGTATTTCCTATCATGATTTCCTTGATAGATGGTTGCTGCTTACAAGGAAGCTATTTAACTAAGAGTTCTGAATGGTGAAGCTGAAATCATCCCATCGTAAATTTTACCAACACCATCACTAGTTGGTTGACCGTTACGGAATATCTGTTTCACAGATGACAACAGATATGTTCCAACTGTCGCAAAGACTAAACTTAACTCTTTTTCTCCAGGGGCCAGCTGGGCCCCCAAAATATTTTTTTCAAAAAAAGGTTGTGTGTGGTAACTTTATAATATTTGAATTACATATATCATAAGATTTGACAGTACTGAATTGAGAACATTTCCCGCCAAAATCATCTCCCTTCAATTTGAACTTCCTGTTGACAAAATAGCTGGCTGTTTCCATAAAACATTAAAAGGGGTATACATGTGTCAAATCTAGACTTCGCATCGAAAACTTAGTTGTACGACTGTGTTTTGGATATTAAAATGACCTTACTGGTTTCCGGAAATCCTCCATTCCATTTTCCTGCTTTAATTAGACAACCGGGTTTCCGTTTGAGAACAGTTTTTGTTTATATCGTGGGGGAAAGGATAGACATGGGATTCAATGCAAAATATTTTCGGTCGCCAGCTGGGCAATCAGGATGATAAATATATTTGCCCAGCCGAAAATCTGGTCGCATTGGGCATGTTGGGCGACTGTTATTAATCCCTGTTGTCGTAACTACATTCCAGTCCCCTTTTCCAAGAATGTGACCTACCGAATAAGACTTAAACAGAGTTTCTACTAAAAAGAGCAACACGATAGGTGCCACATGTGGAGCAGATCTGCTTACTCTTCCGGAGCACCTGAGATCACCCTCCATTTTTGGTGGGGTTTGTGTTGCTCAGTCTTTGGTTTTGTATGTTGTGTTTTGTGTACTTTTGTTTGTGTGTTTGTCTTTTTCTCTTTTTTTATTAGCCATGGTGTTGTCAGTTTATTTTCGACTTTAGTTTGGTATCTTTCACCTCTCTTTTTAGAGGACCTGCTTCTGATCAATGAATGACCATCACATCGAACTGTCTTTGGTTATAAATTTGTCAGATGCAGATCCAGGATTTTGAAAAGGGGTTTTGGGCAAATTAGGCAACGCTTAGAGTGGGGGAAAAGACTATGAATGAACAATATCTGAAGCTCAATAATGGGGGTATGCCCCCTACCCGTCCTAAATCCGCCTCTGATTGTTAAATTGTGTTGTACTTGTTTAGTGTTATTCATATGTTGTTCTGGCCTGAGACTACTATAACTGTGTTATAGTAGTCTCTATATAAACTGTGATAAGTAGTCTCAGTTCTGGCGGAATCGCACTTGTCAAAAAAAATTATAATGGTTCTAAAAGAAATTTTACTATGGATAGGTAAATCTTGAATTGTGAATTATGTTGCATTAGTATGCTGTAACTTTTGATATATTTTAAAATTACATGTGTTGTGTAACCCTATTTTTTGCTTCAAAATGTTTCCTTTTTGTTGTTTATTTTCTGGCGGGATGGCGGGAAGTTGAATTCTTAACGCAGAAGTTTTTTCAAATACACAGTTTCGCATTTCATTTTTCAAAATGACCGATTTTAATCGTATCTTGGAAATTAATTCATTAAAAATGTTTATTTTTGGTAGTACACTCATAATTTTATTTTAAAATTGCGAAAATAAAAAAGTCCATATGAAAGTAATTTGAGCGGCAAATTCAAACCCGATATACAAATTCGAACCAGAGACATGTAATTTGTATTATATTACTCTTTTCGCACCATGTTGTTCGAGATAAAAAGACCAAATAGATAAACTATGAGTTTTAAACCATTGAAATGGATCGGTCACATTTTCCCCCTGATTGACTCAATGTACAATACACCTAATCGCTATTTATTCCATTCCGGATAAGTTCTAAAATTACACAACTTTTTCATCCAGTTGACGCTATCTGGGACCCTGTTTAAACAATGCACCATGCATGATACTTTTTAATGAGACCTGTTTAAAACATCGTAAATACTTCAAACACAATATTTTTTTGACTATAATTTGAGTTTGGAAAAAGTGGATCATAATCTATCAAAGTTTCCTATTGATCGCTTTCTAAATTTTTCCCTCCCTCAGCTCGTTACTGATGACCTTTGTTTGCGGCCTGTTGACCCAAACAGGAAGTTGTCTAAATGACTGTTTTTTCCGGATTGGACTAAATAGCGATAAGGTGTATAGCCTTTAGGAGAAATTCTATGATAATGATAGAAATGAATTTTAGAATGTTGGAAAGGGTAGTATAATATTCCAATCAGCTGTTGATCAGTTTTAGCAAGTTTTTGAGTTATCAAAATGCAATAATTTTTTATTGGCACTGGCTACGGTTACATGGAAATGTAACAATAATAAAATAATTATTGTTACATTGGAGACTAATTGCCGGAATACAGGGTTGGGTAAGGAACCGATTAATTCCGAATCACGGTAACAATAATATTTGTGTCTACGGTTACATTGCGTCATTGTTACATTAAAGAATGCCACGATAATAAAAATTTCTTGAAACTTTAACCTCTGTAGTTTTGTTGCTTAATTCTTTGATATGTACTAGATAATATTTGTAATAATGATAATAATAATAATTTATTTATATTCAACAAAATGTGTTTAAATAGTTTTAAGTATTAATTGTTTTGATGTTCTTAAAGAAACTGGTCCAGTTAAGTAGTGCCAGTGTCAAAGGCGAAAAATATAGTTCAATGGTTCGTTGTTAAAAACTTGAACTGAGAAAAATGTCCACTTCTATGTATTTAACTGCACACCTCAGTACCCTTATTACTGTCATTATACTTTGAACAATGAATGAAGTGATTCCTATTACCAAATTTGTTTTGGGTGAAAAATTTAAAACTTCAGATGCGTTTAAATCGAAACTAAAACAATATCTAGACTCAAATTTTTATCTTCAAAAAAGTGCAGAATGGAATTGAACTATATGCAATACAAACGTGTAAAATGTCGCATCACTGTTTGTAATGGCTGCTTGGATCGAGTGGTTTCACCAACAATGCGTCGGACTAAAACATTCTCCAAAAACAACACACTGGATTTGTAGAAACTGTCATTGTAAATAAGAATTTCAAAAATTGTTTGCAATATTGTAAATATCAAATAAAGATTTTACAAATTGTATGCAATATTTTAAATATCAAATAAAAGTTTTCAAATTTTATTTTAATAAATATTTCTAGTCCCATCGTACATTGCAGTATATTGATGACGATGTAACAATAGCGCAATGTAACCGTAGACACAAATATTATTGTTACATTCGTAATTAGTCGGTTCCTTACCCAACCCTGCATTCCGGCAATTAGTCTCCAATGTAACAATAATTATTTTATTATTGTTACATTTCCATGTAACCGTAGCCAGTGCCTTTTTTATTTTATCAAGAAAACAATTCATCAATAGTCTTTCAAATTAAATTAAAATTGTATTTGTTCATAGTGTGTTTTTTACTGGCCGGTAAAAATTACCGCCAGAAATTCGTAGTTTTTCTCAAATATAGTATAGTTCATTGTCATATTTGTATATATTTATGTTTTGTTTTTAATTTGCCAGAGGGTCTCAGAGAAGACTAGTTATATGCTAACTGTATTCTCCTCAAATGATTTAACAATTACTTACTAACTAATAAAATAGATATATATGTAATCTGGGACTAATAGATATTTCTACAGAGACACATTGTATGTATATGTCTCTGATAGATACAATACAAATTCATCCAATCAAAATTATTTTAAGACTAATAAGAGATTGCTCATGGATAACTGAATTGAGACTTATAAATCTCCATTTTCAAGTCTACATTACTTAATATAAATCCGAATAGGCCTTAAAGAGATGTTAGGTTTTTGTCAATGAGACAACAGCACCCTCACCCCAAACGCAATCAAAACATTTTAGATAGGCATCTATACTATATATCAAGCTCTAGATCGTCAAGGGTATTAAACTGACGCAATGGTTATAGTTTTCAAATGATGGATTTTTGTATACCTTTAACGTTTGTACAAAACTAAGTCAATCAAAACAGTCCTATGTGATGGAATAATTAAAACAAATAGTTGAATTGTGACCCATTTAATTACATTTATATAAAGTAGCTAACCAACATGACATGCTGCTAATTAAAAAAAATCAGTAGTGGTTTTAGGCAGAAATATTTTCTCTTAGTTCAATGTTTCAGATCAGACATGTATGCACTTTATTGTAAATTCTTCATAAGTACAGTAAGCGGAGCTGTATTTCCGATATACTCTGAATTTCAATATCGCAAACAAAGATATATTTGTTAATAAAATTTGTGGGTAAGGTTGCTAACCTATTGACTTTTACGCACTATCTCAATACTTTTATCATAGATATAATTATATCTATGTTTTTATTTACCAGTGTGACGGTAACGAAACAATGATAGTATTACGTTCACTGTTTGAACTAGCGATACATACACACCATTATTTAACTCAAATGTGAAAGAAAGGGAAACACCGTATTATTTCAGCTCTTCAAAGTTATGTTTTGGATTTTAAACATCTTGGCCTCAAGCATCACTGAAGAGATGTCCAATGAACATCTCGTGCAATAAAATTGGCACCGTTAATGTTATCAAACCCACTATTTTCTTCGGGAAATAGCTGTACAAAGTTCCGTTGGATGATATAGGATCATATATAGTCGATCGTTTGGTTTTGTCAGTTTTAATAGACTTCCTCTTTTCGTATTTACCCTGGAGTTTGATATTTTCGTTACATGTCCTTTTTACATTTTTCGTACTTAGGTACAAAACAATCAAACATTGATTTTATCTTCTTTTCTTGGGATTAGATACACGTCTTTGGTCGCTTTTTCGTGGATTTCTCATAAATCCACGCATGGATACATGTCATGAAGTTTTTTGTTGTAATGGTTTATCGTAAACCCATGAACAATCTCACTTTTAATTATTAGCGTTAATAAAGATGTGCTCTCTATATAGCGAGTATTCTACTTTAGTCATGTTTCGACAGAGGTTTCGATTATTTACTATGTATACCAAATGAAGTTGTTCCCGACTCTCATGAAGTACAAAGAAATTGTAGAAAGGGATATGGTGTGGAGAGACAAGGGGATCAAATCTCCTGACGTACTGCAACATAGCCAATATAACGCAACCATGTTATTGTAAAACATCTTAATTCATAATCCAACATAATTTCTTTAAAATGTTCACCCTTTGAACACATCCATTATATACTCTTAACGTTGTGTAGACTAATGATAGCATCTAGTTACTCACATGACAGACATTATTATTTTTCTAGAGAATTTTTACACTGGCCAAATACGCATCCATATTCTTGACCAAATGAAGTCAATCTATAAAATCGGGGGAAAACGTCTTGTTTTCTTTATTGTTCACCACGTTGGTGTATGAAACAGTGGTTAGTATTGAAGGAACAGTTCCACTTATTCTATTTTATCAGATTTTAACTCTGAGTTTAATCTGTTTATCAAAATAGTTCTCAGCTTTTAGCTCTCTTTCGGGAACTACGAGAATTCTTTGATACTATATTATTGAGAATTGTATTTCTTGTATCCTGTGATTTTGTCATCTGAATTACTGCTGCACTTTTTCGAACTAAATTTTATTGTACATTTTGTCATTCCACTGCTTGAGATAAATGTTGAGACTGGTTTAGTACTTTAAAATCTGCCAAATTTTATTATACATGTCATGAGTCAGGAACTTGCCAGTGGCTGTTTATATTTCAGTATATTTTGTCCAAGAGTGTAGACCTTGCATTGACGTATAGATTTCTGTTCTGTTGTTTTATTTTTTGGTTCACGGTTTCAAAATCTACTTTCAGTCATACACATTTTCCTACAGGAACACATATAGGCTAATCCATTTAGGGAACATAGAAATCTTGCAGGGTATTTTATTCATTGGTTGTCTAATAAAGAATGTAATAAACATAACAACACATAACAAGAAAGGGCATCACCAATACATTGAAAGAAAATTTGATAGAAAAAAAAAAGACCAAAAATTGGTTACCAAACTGATGAACATACAAAAACCCAACTTGAGCATAAACAAAAGTGCACATTCTGAAATGTCTAGCTTGCTTAGATTTTAATCAGAAATGAATAGTAATGATGAGGTCAAGGTAAAATGGACCCTGCCAGACAGACATGTTCACCTTATAATCATTCCATACACTAAATATAGTTGACTTTTTGCTTATAGCATCTGATAAACTGACAAAACCATGAAAACTAAACATTGATCAATGATCCATTAAAATGAAGACAAGGTCAGATGAACCTTGCCAGACAGACATGTACACCTTACAATCATTTCATACACCAAATATAGTTGACTGTTTGCTTATAGCATCTGATAAACTGAAAAAAACCATGAAAACTTAACATTGACAAATGCTCCATGAAATAAAGGTCAAGGTAATATGAAACCAGCCAGAGACATGTACACCTTACAATCATTCCATACACCAAATATGGTGTCCCTATTGCTTATAGTACCGGAAAAAGACCAAACCACAAAAACTAAACATTGTTCAATGAACCATGAAATAAAGGTCAAGGCCAGATGAACCTGCCAGTCAGACATATACACCTTACAATCATTCCATACACCAAATATAGTTGACCTATTGCTTATAGAATCTGAGATAAGGACTTGACCACCAAACTTAAACCTTGATCACTGATCCATGAAATGAGGTAGAGGTCATGTGAACCCTGTCTGACAGACATGTAGAGATTGCAAGGAACCCATATACCAAATATGGTTATCCTAAAACTCATAATAAGTGAAAAATTCCAATGACAAAAAAAACTTTTTTTTCAAGCAGTTGCTGGTCCATGAAAATGAAATCAAGGACAATGGACATTTGACAGATGGATACTTCTTAACACAAGAAATCTGCATATATACGAGGTATGAAGCATCCAGGTCTTCTACCTTCTGAAATATAAAGCTTTATACAATTACAAAAATGTAGTACCAAAGTCTTATAGATATATATTATTTTTTTTAGCTTTTTATTATTTTCTGCTCTTTTCACAAATATGCATTGTTATAGAGCTACAGTAACAATTATATTTCAGAAGGGTTATATTTCCTGAATGATTATTTATCTGCCATAAATGTTCAGTGGTTTCTAACAGAATAATATACAGTGAGATAATAAAACACTCTATTAGTCCAGAAAGCACTATAATTTGTAAACAGAAACAAATCCATGTTTAATGTGCATCAACCCTTTTAATATTATGCAATGTTGCATATAACTCTAATATAATTTGCAGTAGTTGATAGATATAAGAAGATGTGGTATGAGTGCCAATGAGACAACTCTCCATCCAAGTCAAAATTTATAAAAGTAAACCAACACAGAGCCTTGGCTCATACCGAACATCAAGCTATAAAGAGCCCCAAAAATTACTAGTGTAAAACCATTCAAACAGAAAAATCAACGGTCTAATCTATATAAAAAACGAGAAACGAGAAACACTTATGAACCACATCAACAAACAACAACTACTGAACATCAGATTCCTGACTTAGGACAGGTGCAAACAATTGCAGCGGGTTTAAATGTTTTAATGGTACAAAACCTTCACCCTTATCTGAAACAATAGTGTAACATCACAACATAGAAAGACACACTATAAAATATCAATTGAAATGGCTTAACTCAATCAAAAGACATATTAACACCAGTGAACATACACTAAAGTACACTGGTATAATTTCATTGGAATAAAATATCCATTTGAAACTGCCACTAGTTTGTTGCATAAAATTCTCATCATGAATGTTCATTTTTTGTTGTAGTACTAGTACATTACTGTTACTCTGTTATCCAGTGATATAAAATCAGACCTTGTTTCAAATGGAAGGAACATTACAACTAAACTGTTTGAGAACATTTTTATTTATATTACAAATAATTACAAACTCAACAAATACCATATTTGAAGAAATGTATAAATATATTTTTGTCTTATTTTTCCTTAAAAAACCTTGCACTTTAATAAATCTACATAATTTTTTGAATGAATTATTACAGGTTACATCATCATTCTAATTCCATCAGATGTCCTATGAAGGAATAGCAACAGAAAGGAAAGAAAAAGACGTTTTCCAAATATGGTCATATAGTTTTATTGTTTTGATCAGAACTGACAGTTTTAAAATCCTATTCCATTTAATAACATTAATAGTATCTATCTTTACTACACCAGATGTTTTACCAAGTCATGTTTTTTCAGGGAGACTTGAGGCCAAAATATTTGAAAAATCATGCGATTAGTAAGTATTTAAAGACAAAAAATGTAGAAATATGCTCTTTACAAATGCAATTATAATGAAGATTTGAAATAAAACTAATCTATTTCATTAATCTATTTCATAAATAAAATATCAAAAAGAATCAATCATAACAATTTTTAAGGTAATCATCAACATACAATCCATTCTTAAGAAATTTCAAGATTTCTATGTTGTTATGAATTTTATATCCTCATTCCTGACAGAAATACATAAATATTTTGTAAGTATTGTAGACCTGTCTTGAGAGACCAACCTCTTTTGGTCTTTAGGTATAGACGGTGACAATTTCAACTCATCATCACTTATATCTTAACAGATTAAATCATCTCAAAAGACTGATTTTTAGTGACAGAAAGGGTGGTCTCTCATAACAGGGTACATTGTATCAATTTATTATTTTATTGCACATATAAATTATATACAAAATATAAACAGCATTTTGCAGTATGGCATCCGTGCTATGATGTTGACACCACTTTTGAAACTTCATTTATAATGTCCTTCATATCTGCTTCTAAATTCAACAATAAGCCTGAAATATATACAATTTGAATTAAAGTACATGTAAACTATTGTTTATTCACTCCTTCTCTGTATGGGTTTTTATGTGTTTATTGTTGCATGAGGTCTGTGATAAGAAATATCTGAAGATTTAATTGCTTCAGATCACTTCAAACTTCAAAGTTGTGAAAGCAACTTTTTATATCAATATGTATTGTAATTTTGATCAATGTACAGGTAAAACTATTCTTGGTTCCTTCTGTATGGGTTTTTGTTTATTTGTTGTGAAATGTAGACTTGGACAAGAAATGTCTGATGATTCAACTGTTTCAGGTCACTTCAAAGTTGTGAAAGGTACTTTCTATAAATTTCAGAATAGTTCTTTACAAATATCTTATGTCTATTCAAACTGCCAGCTATTACTTTTGTCAGTTTTAAAGTGTAATGTTGATTGCCAAAAACTAAGTCCATTTATCAGAAAATACAGAAAAATATCCAAAAATTCATTTTGTCTTCGGACTCTATTCTACATTCTGCATCTGCTTGCCCAAGTCAGTATATTCTGTAATTCAGTGTTTGTCGTTTGTTGCTGTATTTCATATATGTTTTTCATTTATTGTTTTGTAAATAAATCATGCCATTAGTTTTCTCGTTTGAATTGTTTTATATGTCATTTCAGGGTCTTTTACAGCTTGCTTTGCAGTTGGGTTTTGCTTATTGTTGAAGGCTGTACTGTGGTCTATAGTTGCTAACTCCTACTTCATATGGTCTCTGGTGGAGAGTTGTCTCATTGGCAATCATACCACATTTTCTTATTTCTATATTTCTTGACCTTTAAGAAGCTTATTTCCAAGTTTCAAAACATTCCATAAAGGTTTGACAAATTTATTGATATCTAAAGAACATTAACTAAAGACTGTATCTAAATAAACTCATCATAGATACCAGGATTAAATTATGTACACCAAACACATGTTTCATCTATTAAAAGACTTATCAGTGATGCTTGAATCAAAAAAGTTAAAAAGGCCAAATAAAGTACGAAGTTGACGAGCATTAAGGACCCAAAATTCCGAAAAAGGTTTGCCAAATAAAGCTAAGGTAATCTATTCCTGGAGTAAATGTAAACTGCAAAAAACTAGGTCCTCTTTATCAATAAAATATGAAACAAGAATGTGTCCATAGTACACATTCTTGCCCCACTCGCACTATCCTTTTCTATGTTCAGTGGACCGTGAAATTGGGGTAAATTCTCTAATTTGGCATTAAAATTAAAAAAATCATATCATAGGGAACATGTATACTAAGTTTCAATTTGATTGGACTTCAACTTCATCAAAAACTACCTGGACCAAAAACTTTAACCTGAAGCAGGACAGACGGACGGACGGACAAACGAACGAACAGACGCACAGACCGAAAAACATAATGCCCCTAGGTTGGGCCATAAAAAAAAGTACTTTCAAAATTTTGCTGTGGATACTGCATTTTGCCCAAGTTTCATGTCATTAGAGCTACGTCGGATAGAAATGGACCTTAAGCAAGTGCACGTATAAATGTACATGTATAAGACTTTGAATTATTTTGGAACATTCAAATACGAAATAAAAGATGAATTTTGGTCTGTTTTGAAGGATATCAACTCAGTTTTCAAACAGTTACAGACTTTACATAGAAATTTTCTCAACCGGATAAAGGTAAACAGATGTTCATGTGCATAAGGTCGATTTCTATCCGACGCAGCTTTTGAAGTTTTGACAAAGTTATGAATTAGAATGTCTGAAAAACCTTAACCTCAGACTGTATCTTAATATTAACTGCATAAAAACCTTTTATCAGTAAAATACGGAAAAATGGATAAAAAATATCTAAAAATTTAACTTTGGATACTATCTTTCATAAAGAAACATCGGTCCAAATCTTTCACAATTCCATGAAGGTTTGACAATGTTATTAATCTTTAACCACAGACTGAACCTAAATGTTGATGATGACAACAATAGAATGTAGGATCCCTATATCTTGCTGTGGCAACAAAATGTTGCAGACTTGACAAAAACATAACAGGAATAATAAATAATTGGGGAATGTGTCCATGGGACACAGATGATGCCCCCGCTTGCATATAATGTTATAAAAGAAAATAACTCAAGAACAGTAAAAATGAAGCTACCCAAATTCATACTTGATCTAAGTTTTGTGGTAATAACCATTGTGTATAATTTTCATAACATTTGGTTGAGGCAAACTAAAGTAAGAGAATGGAAACCAATTTTGGGACGTACGGACGTACAGACGGACAAGGGTAAAACTTAATGCCCCCTCCGCTATGGCGGGGGCATAAAAATATTCAATGGTACAACAGTACACACTAGCTAGTCACCATCTCCTAAAACAAAACAATCAATAGATGTACAAGGAAAGACAACCGACCATGAACAACACATGTTTAAGATAGCCAATATGTGAGGTTAACTGAAACTTTTGAAAGGACACAATGAATTTTCTTTTTTAGCCTTTTTAACCATGTTCCTATTCATAAACATAACTCTAATCTTGCTCTTTGCAAACTATATACTTACTGCATGTTAAAGGATTAAAAGTAAAACATATTCTGATCAAAATACATAATCAAGAACAACATTAACTAGAGGCTCTAAAGAGCCTGTGTCGCTCACCTTGGTCTATGTGCATATTAAACAAAGGACACAGATGGATTCATGACAAAATTGTGTTTTGGTAATGGTGATGTGTTTGTAGATCTTACTTTACTAAACATTCTTGCTGCTTACAATTATCTCTATCTATAATGAACTTGGCCCAGTAGTTACAGTGGAAAATATTTTGTAAAAATTTACAAAAATTTACAAAATTTATGAAAATTGTAAAAAATGGACTATAAAGGGCAATAACTCCTTAAGGGGTCAATTGACAATTTTGGTCATTTGACTTATTTGTAGATCTTACTTTGCTGTACATTATTGCTGTTTACAGTTTATCTCTATCTATAATAATATTCAAGATAATAACCAAAAGCTGCAAAATTTTCAAAATTACCAATTCAGGGCAGCAACCCAACAACATGTTGCCTGATTGGTCTGAAAATTTCAGGTCAGATAGATCTTGACCTAATGAACAATTTTATCCTTGTCAGATTTGCTCTAAATGCTTTGGTTTCAGAGATATGAGCCAAAAACTGCATTTTACCCTATGTACTATTTTTCAGCCATGACAGCCATCTTGGTTGGTTGGCCGTGTCACCGGACACATTTTTTAAACTAGATACCCCAATGATGATTTTGGCCAAGTTTGGTCAAATTTGGACCAGTAGTTTCAGAGGAGAAGATTTTTGTAAAAGTTTACGGACGACGGACGCTAAGTGATGAGAAAAGATCATTTGGCCCTGTGGGCCAGGTGAGCTAAAAATATATAATTACCAGTATTTGTATTACTATCTGCAATAAATGTTAGCACCACTGGAGTTTTGTTTATCTGAACAACCTGGAAAAAAAACAGGTTAAAAACGATAACAAATTTAAAAAAGTTCCAAAAACATATATGGAGACATCATATTTATTTTATTTTATAAGAATTTATTTATATTTTTACAACTGGTGCAACTAAGATATAAAGTCAGATTTGTTATCAAATGGAAGGAAAACTACTACAAAACTATTTGTAAACATTTCCAACTAAATATCAAATAATCACAAAATTTGATTATTTTTCTTAAATTTTTGTCTGATTTTTCTCTTCTTTTTTTTTTAAATCTACAGAAAAAACTTATTGAGATATGTATAACAAATGAACTACCATCATGCCTATGACTCAATTCTATTCCAGACTTAAAGTGGTACCAAACACCATGACTAAAATTAGTTTTGCTCATTTAATTTTCATAAAATTTTGACAAAATATTTACTTTGACCCTTTGACAAAAATATAAAAATTTCAAGAAACTTGAACCACACTTTATTGGAAAAATTTCATTGGACATATAGCAGTTTGACAAACACTAATTTTGATCATTGAGAAGCTTAATATTTCCTTTACAATAGAATGTGATTAAAATGTCAGCTGATTTTTACAGAGTTATCTCTCTGAGGCCATTTTGATCACTCAAATATTTTACCCATATGTGGTGATTACCTGATAGTTCTGATATAAACATATAAAACTTTTACTCTGCTGAAATCCTATTTTGTTGGCTTGTTCTATGGCTGTACCAAATGTAGATAGAAAATTTGGACGTAACGCTAGTTCTGGTACCTGGTCTGTTGATCCTGAAACCATCAAATTTTCTTTTAAAATTATCTAGATTTGAATTAGTTATGCTCTTCAAATGTACATTTTATATTGAGACACAACTTTCTTGACCTTGGGGGAAGTTTGACCCTGACTGCACACTTGCTTATTGACTACATTTCAATCACTGAATCAGGCAGTATAAATTGATTTGATTTCACATCTTTTCTATGTTTCTCATAGCAGTGTTCCCCTCACAAATTCCAGATTAACTGGAGGAATTTTGAAATAACTCTTTTTATTGTAATGAATTTATAGCATTACATCCATTACAATATCAACAAAAAACATTTCAGATTGAATCACATTCAACCATAATAGCATCACATAAGCAAGATGCTTAAAGTTCGGTGGGAGAACACTGTCCTAGTATATTTTTGTTTGACAGGATATATAGGTAAACTGCAAAGGTTGAGCGGTCACCTTTTCATCATCACTTGTTATTGATTAGTAAAAGGCTAATCTTACTAGCTGCTGATGACACGATAAATCAATATATTATTTGGTAAAGTCCTAGATTAATAAACTGTAAAAAAATGTACAAAAGAGTGCAGATAATTCAATTTACTTAAATTCTACGAAAATAAATGGGAAATATGTCCATGGAACACAGATGATGCCCCTGCTTGCATATAACGTTATAAAGGGACATAACTCAAGAACAGTAAAAGTGACACTACACAAATTCCTATACTTGATCTGAGATTTGTGGTAATAAGCATGATAAGCATTGTGTATAAGTTTCATAACATTTGGTTGAGGCAAACTTAAGTTAGAGAATGGAAACCAAAAATTTAGCAATTTTTCCATTTGTAAAGGAGCATAACTCTAGAAGGGTAAAAGTGACCCTACCAAAATTCAAATTTGATCTGTGTTTTGTGGTAATAAGCATTGTGTATAAGTTTCATAACATTTGGTTGAGGCAAGCTTAAGTTAGAAAACGGAAACCAAAAATTCAGCAATTTTTCCATTTGTAAACGGTCATAACTCTAGAAAGGTAGAAGTGATGCCACCCAAATTCATACTTAATCTGTGTTTTGTGATAATAAACATTGTGTATAAGTTTCATAACATTTGGTGAGGCAAACTAAAGTAAGAGAACGGAAACCAATTTGTTTTAAGAATTTTGACGTATTCTTCTACATTACTTAAATACTTAATTGACAGTGGCTCTCGATAGAAAATTTAGTAAGCCATTCAGAGTTATCTATCTTATGTTGTCAAAGACGTTTAATCCTACCTGAAGTTAAAATAAAGCCCACCCATGTTTATTAATAAAGGCAACAATTTACCAATTTCAAGTGGTAATCTACTCTTTTAACTTCTATTATTATACATGTTATACTATCTATGAAAACAGAACATTATTAAAAAAAAATGTAAATTATAACTGAATTGTCATAATAATGGCTGTAAATTATTAATCAAATTTCAATAATAATATCCATCAGCTATACTTCATCATGAAGTCTGGACTAAAATAACTATATGATGTCGAGTGTCATTTAATATAGTGTGAACCAAACAGGTGCCTGTGGGGGAGGAAAAATAGTTTCTTTCACCAGGTCCTGATATAGTTATCTGAATGAAATATTATGCAAGATTGAATGAAATTTGTTTGATAAGAAAAAAAATCCATGATTGTTTTTGTCATTTTCATGCTTTCAAGACATATATCAAATCTCAACACTTAACATTTATTATTTCTAAAGATATATCTGTGGAAAATCTTAAATTGATATATATCTGATAAATATTGATAAATATGAAAATTTATCTCTGGTGTAGGTAGAAATATCTTGTCTGTATTTTCCATTCATATAATGTACTATTACTTTTCAAACAAATGTTTATTTTAAACAGATCAAAATCTGATATCACTCTGTTCTGCTCTGTAGCAAGTTTTCAAAAAGAAATTCTATGGCAAATGCATAACTACACATTACATATGGACATTTTTGGCAGATCTTTTAATAATAAGATTTGTTTCTCGCTTTTCTATTTTCAATTAACTAGTAAATGTTACACTTTACCTTTCAAGAGCGGTACGCCATCTCTGTCTGTAACTGCTATTGCCAGTAAACCATCAACTCTGAAAGAACAAAATCAAATTAATATAGATACAGTTGGGCTTTTGGTCCCATAATCATGATAATACCCTCAATCTCAGGGACAGGTGAATCCCAAAATCTGAATCCTACTTAATTTTATTTTTATATAATTAAGAACCCTAAATGCATTAAATAAGTAAAGGATGCACTACAAATATATTGAAAAGTGTTAGAGGTCATATATATTTTTTTTACTCAAATCCATTTAAAAAATGTTGGAAGCTCGGTTGGAAGAGAAATTGAGTGCAGGTATCTCCACAATTCCAACTCCAACTTACAGGGGCAGATCCAGCCATTTTTCTTTTTTTTTGGGGGGGGGGGGGGGGTTCCAACCATATGTCCCCATTCAAAAGCATTGATCATAAAACAAAAGGGGGGTTCCAACCCCCGGAACTCCCCAACCTGGATCCACCACTGAACTTAAGTATAACTTGGGAGCCAAAAGCAAACATAAAATACAGGATGCACGAAAACACTAAAAAATAGACAAGTAAAAGAGAGGCGAAGGATACCAAAGGGACATTCAAACTCACAAGTCGAAACTAAATTGACAACGCCATGGGTTAAAAGAATAAAATGCTTCCCTGAGTGCAGCTTGATATGACCGCAGAGGTCCAACCCTGAACAGTTGGGGCAAAAATGGACACAATATTCGCGCTTGATACAGGTCTGAATTTGGATTGTAATTAAATATTTGACACATAATAGGTTTCTGACACAGAATAACTGTAGTCAAAGAACTTAGAATTGGTTATATGATTTGAATTTATATTCAATTTTTACTTTTGTGCAATACACTGTGCATGTGTGAATTGACACCCCACCCCAAAAAAAAAAAAAAAATTAAAATTAACCCCCTTTTTTGTTTGCTCTTGTGCAATACACTATGCTGTTGCGTATTGGACCCCCCCCCCCCCCCCCAAATATGTGAAGAAATTTTGTTTAATTTCTGAAATCTGAAATGAGAAAAAATTGCCCCCCCCCCCCCCACTTTTCCAAAAAAAAAAATTCTTTCCCTCATGATATGGTCATAATCTCACTTCAAATTACCAATGGAGTTTGCAACCATAATTACCAATTTAAATACATCATAAAAGTCTTAAATAGATAATTTAAAAGCAGTGTAAGGGAGGTAATCCAACATTGTACAATTTTGTTTTTGGATTACCTCCCTTACACTGCTTTTAAATTGTCCATTATCCAGGAAACCCTTTTTTCCCCCTTTTTTTGCCCCTTATTCCTAAACGGTTTGAGCCGTAACCCCCCCCAAAGCCAATCCTAACCATCCCTTTGTGATATGGAAACTTGTGGTATAATTTCAGAGAGATCCATACACTTTAACACAAGTTATTGTCTGGAAACTAGAAAAATGCCTTTTTGGTCCTCTTTTTGGCCCCTAATTCCTAAACTGTTAGTTCCATAACCCCCAAAATCAATCCCAACCTTCCTTTTGTGGTATTGAACCGTATGGTAAAATTTCATAGAGATCCATTCACTTAAACTAAAGTAATTGTGCGAAAACAAATGTGTCTTTGGACGACAACGATGATGCCAACGTCATACCAATATTTTTGCGGTCGTATAAAAAGACAAACAAACAACAGTACACAAAACACAACATAGAAAAATAAAGACTGAGCAACACAAACCCCACCAAAAACTAGGGGTGATCTCAGGTGCTCCGAAAGGGTAAGAAGATCCTGCTCCACAAGTAGCTGTTATCTATGGATGGAAGAAATCTGGCCAGTTGAAGATGTGACAGGATGTGGACTGCAGAATATTTTATTTAGGTAAAATAAAATGCTTCGCTGGGGCGCAGCTTGATACGACCGCAGAGGTCGAACCCTGAACAGTTGGGGCAAGTATGGACACAACATTCAAGCTTGATACAGCTCTGAATTTGGATTGTTATTAAATATGTGAAACAGCATAGGTTTCTGACACAGAAAGAATGTGGTCTAAGAACTTGAATTTTTTTAATTTACCTATTATGGTCCAATGTCCAAAATCAAAATACATGGTTAGATTCAGCATATCAAAGAACCCCATATATTCAATTTTTGTTAAAATCAAACAAAGTTTAATTTTGGACCCCAACTTGGACAAACTTGAAAACTGGGCCCATAATCAAAAATCTAAACACATGTTTAGATTCAGCATATCAAAGAACCCCAAGAATTCAATTTTTGCTAAAATCAAACTAAGTTTAATTTTGGACCCTTTGGACCTTAATGTAGACCAATTTAAAAAACCGGACTTAAAATTAAAAATCTAAATACACGGTTAGATTTGGAATATCAAAGAACCCCAATAATTCAATTTTTGATGAAATCAAACAAAGTTTAATTTTGGACCCTTTTGACCTCAAAATGAACCAATTTGATAGCGGGGCTCACAAATAAAAAATCTAAATTCATGGTTAGATTCAGCATATCAAAGAACCCCATATATTCAATTTTTGTTGAAATCAAAAAAAGTTTAATTTTGGACCCCAACTTGGACCAACTTGAAAAATGGGCCCATAATCAAAAATCTAAATACATGTTTAGATTCAGCATATCAAAGAACCCCATATATTCAATTTTTGTTGAAATCAAACAAAGTTTAAATACTGGACCCTATCTTGGACCAACTTGAAAACTGGGCCCATAATCAAAAATCTAAACACATGTTTAGATTCAGCATATCAAAGAACCCCAAAAATTCAATTTTTGTTAAAATCAAACTAAGTTTAATTTTGGACCCTTTGGACCTTAATGTAGACCAATTTAAAAAACAGGACCCAAAATTAAAAATCTAAATACACGGTTAGATTTGGAATATCAAAGAGCCCCAATAATTCAATTTTAGATGAAATCAAACAAAGTTTAATTTTGGACCCTTTTGACCTCAATATGAACCAATTTGATAACGGGGTCCACAAATAAAAAATCTAAATACATGGTTAGATTCAGCATATCAAAGAACCCCATATATTCAATTTTTGTTGAAATCAAACAAAGTTTAATTTTGGACCCCAATTTAGACCAACTTGAAAACTGGGCCAAAAATCAAAAATCTAAATACATGTTTAGATTCAGCATATCAAAGAACCTCATATATTCAATTTTTGCTAAAATCAAACAAAGTTTAATTTTGGACCCTTTGGACCTTAATGTAGACTATTTTGAAAACTGGACCCAAAATTAACAAGAAATGATTGTAACAGGATGCTGTTACGAAGTCTCCCAAACGAAGCTCCCATAATTCGTAATTCCCAGGGTCGCCTGACATTGGGCAACGTCCAGTGAAAATTGGTTTGGTCCAGTAAAGTTATATGCATTAGTGATGCCTGGGGACTAACCTTGTATATCATTCAAATCATCTTGGCATGACAAACCTGAATATATATGGTTTAGGGGTGGGGATCTCGACCATTTACAAGATACTAGAACATTGGGGGTGGGGAGGAACCCCTGGGGACTGGCCCTATACGTCATTCAAATGTTCATTACATGACTAACAGGAATATATATGGTTTAGAGGTGGGGATCTCAACCATTTACAAGATATTAGAACATTGGGGGTGGGGGGAACCCCTGGGGACTGACCGTATATGTCATTCAAATGTTCGAGACAAGACAAATAGGAATATATATGGTTTAGGGGTGGGGATCTCAACCATTTACAAGATATTAGAACTTTCTCAAATGGCAGGGGGTCGGGATGACCCCTGGGGACTAACCCTGTATATCATTCAAACCATCTTCGCATGACAAACCAGAATATATATGGTTTAGGGGTGGGGATCTTGACCACTTAGAAGATATTAGAACTTTCTTAAATGGCAGGGGGTTGGGGTGACCCCTGGGGACTAATCTTGTATTTCATTTGATGTGCTTTATCATGACAAACCAGAATATATATGGTTTAGGGGTGGGGATCTCAACCATTAACAAGATATTAGAACTTTCTCAAATGGCAGGGGGTCGGGATAACCCCTGGGGACTAACCCTGTATATCATTTGAACCATCTTCGCATGACAAACCAGAATATATATGGTTTAGGGGTGGGGATCTCAACCATTTACAAGATATTAGAACTTTCTCAAATGGCAGGGGGTCGGGATGACCCCTGGGGATTAACCCTGTATATCATTCAAACCATCTTCGCATGACAAACCAGAATATATATGGTTTAGGGGTGGGGATCTTGACCACTTAGATATTAGAACTTTCTTAAATGGCAGGGGGTGGGGGTGACCCCTGGGGACTAATCCTGTATTTCATTTGATGTGCTTTATCATGACAAACCAGAATATATATGGTTTAGGGGTGGGGATCTCAACCATTTACAAGATATTAGAACTTTCTCAAATGGCAGGGGGTCGGGATGACCCCTGGGGACTAACCCTGTATATCATTTCAACCATCTTCGCATGACAAACCAGAATATATATGGTTTAGGGGTGGGGATCTCGACCATTTACAAGATATTAGAACTTTCTAAAATGGCAGGGGGTCGGGATGACCCCTGGGGACTAACCCTGTATATCATTCAAACCATCTTAGCATGACAAACCAGAATATATATGGTTTAGGGGTGGGGATCTTGACCACTTACAAGATATTAAAACTTTCTTAAATGGCAGGGGGTAGGAGTGACCCCTGGGGACTAACCCTGTATTTCATTTGATGTGCTTTATCATGACAAACCAGAATATATATGGTTTAGGGGTGGGGATCTCAACCATTTACAAGATATTAGAACTTTCTCAAATGGCAGGGGGTCGGGATGACCCCTGGGGACTAACCCTGTATATCATTCAAACCATCTCAGCATGACAAACCAGAATATATATGGTTTAGGGGTGGGGATCTTGACCACTTAGAAGATATTAGAACTTTCTTAAATGGCAGGGGGTGGGGGTGACCCCTGGGGACTAACCCTGTATTACATTTGATGTGCTTTATTATGACAAACCAGAATATATATGGTTTA